GATGACGAGACACTGACTCTCTCTGGCTCTTCTCTCAGCCCAAGAACACTCACGTCCTTCATTTTTAGCCACTCCTTCCCTCTCTTAACACTCTCGTCAAAAAGAATTGAGGGAGAGTAGGGTGGTTCCGGGCAGTGGGTCCAGGATCCCAGGCCGCCATGTTTCAACCTTGCCACTGTTATCTAACAAGTTTGGACAAAGGACATTGGCCACCAGATGGCATTTTCAGGTGCTGTACCTCTCCTGAGGGTCACAGAATGCTCATACCTTTTAAGACTCTCAAATCCCATGGGATTTAAAGTGGAATTAACCCTGATGAAAAAGGTAAATTGGGGCTGGGGTTGGGGCTCAGTGGTAGAGCGCCTGCCTTGCACATGTGAGGCACTGGGTTCGATCCTCAGCACCACATAAATAAATAAATAAAATAAAGGTACTGTGTCCATACAACTAAAAATAAAATATAAATTAAAAAAAAAGAAAATTCCATTTTCTCTATGTATTTAAATTATGTGTCATTTTGTCTGTTTATTTATTCGGTGGTTTATTTTTGCAGTGCCAGAGATAGAAACCAAGCTCTCATGCATGCTAGGCAAGCGTTCTACCCCTAAACTAAACCCCCAGCCTTTATGTATCAGTTTTTAAGTTAATTTTTTCCTTAACTGTCATTTTGTTATTTCAGTGACTCCTCATCTTATAAAGAAACAATCTTTCTAATTGTGGTATATTGCTTTCCATCAATATGTAATGATAATAGTAACATATGTCATATACTATGTGTATGGTGTACTATGTGTGTATAATATGTACATACTATATATACTATATCTACTATGTATATGAACATAATATATACTGTAAATATAGAGTAATAACATGTATATATACTATGTATATACATAGTATCATTTCATCATATTTTGATAACTTATTTTATAACCATTATATATAAAGCATTTATTAGGACACAAAATGCAGTATATTCTTTATGCCTTTAACCTGAGCTATACAGCCAGGTGGTTGTATAGTTTAAATCTAATGCTGTATTCTTCAGTTTAAGTCTAATGCTGTATTCACCTATCACTACCACCTCTTTGGAAAACCAATGAAAAGTTACAATTATTCAAGAGACACTTGGGAGAGTCATTTAAAGCAAATTGCTCTTACTCACAGAATATTCAACTACTCACTTGACTAATGAACTATGGTTGAAGTTAAGCTTATATTATAATTGGTTCCAAGAGCAGGTACACCCTGCTGTTAACTCAAGGATCACACTCCCATTAATGCTTTACTTTCATAAGTCATTTTATATTATATATGATTTTGTGTGTGTGTGTGTGTGTATATATATATAATATAAGATTGTTCTCTTCATATTACATATGTCTAAGGATGTTCCAAATACAGCTGTTCTTTTTTGGATACTGGAGATTTAACACAAGGGTTCCTAACCACTGAGCCACAGCTGCAGCCCTTTTTTTATTTTTTATTTTGAGAAAAGTTCTCACTAAATTTCTTAGGACCTCGCTAAGTTGCTGAGGCTAGCCTCAAACTTGTGATCCTCATGCCTCAGCCTTCTGAATTGCTGGGATTACAGGTGTGCACCACTGGACCCAGCTTCAAATACAGTTTTATAGCTTTTGAAGTATTTTTACATTACACACACACACACACACACACTCACAGTGTGTATGAGCATTGCTCATTATCAATGAGGATCAATTACTTAAAATGGTAGAACAAGCCAAACATGGTGGCACATGCCTGTAATCTCAGTGATTTGAGGGGCTGAGGCAGAAATATTGCAAGTTCAAAGCCAGCCTTAGCAACTTAGTGAGGTCCTAGCATCTTAGCAAGACCCCATCTCAAAACACAAAAATTTTAAAAGGACTAGGGATGTTGCTTAGCACCCCTGGAGTACAATTCCCAGGGCGGGCGGGAAGCCTGTAGAACATATCCTAATTTTGCTTTTGCATTTCAAAAATCATGATTATAAGTTTAAAATGTTATATTCTCTTGGCCAATCATAATCCTATTATTTGGAAAATTGTATATTCTCAGATAGATACCTAGTATCTAGGGATTTATTATGGTGGCATTAGCCTCTTAACTATAACATACCAGTGTTTCCCAGGAATAGAAATAGAGAAATGATAAAAGTAAGATTCCAGATTCCAAATGTTGTTTAATGCTATCAAATTAGCCAACATTAATCTCTGCTGCAAAATGCCCAAGTGGATACATTTTTGAAGGTTTACCAGAAGCAAGAACTCCATATTGGTGCCCTTTCCCTTGGTGCCCAGCTGCTCTTATTATCCAATATCTTCTGGAGGCCTGGGGCTTCACCACAGGGTCGTTGGAAGAATGAAAGTTTCACCTCTCTCAAAAATGTATATACCAAGTGGGAAATTGAGGACTGGAACTCTATGTGCAGTTAAGAGATTACTTTGCCACTTCATAGACTGCAAAACTGAGGAATGCACTGTTCATGGTTTATTTAAGACAACAGTGCGGTTCAGGGACAACACTAGACAGAAACGGATATCTGTGAGCTCCCAACAGAGTGCCAAGTCCATGAATCATCCTGCCACTAAATGAGTAAAACCAGAAGCAAAACCAAAAAGTCTAACCACTGGATACCATCACCTTCCAAAACCCAACGTTCACCTTAACTATGTTAGGGATATTTAAGATATTTCTACTCATAAAGATGCAAACAAATAATTAGGATATTATTAATTATATATTGTTATGACCATAACTGCTGAGGCTGGCCTTGAAACTTGTGATCCTCTTGCCTCCGCCTCCTGAGTAGCTGGGATTACGGGCATGTGCTACCGTGCCTGGCTTTTTTGGTAAAAATTGTATTGAGATATAAGGCTTATATGCACAATTCAGTGATTTTCAGTCTATTCACGAGTGGTAGAACTACTACTAAAATTTATTTTAGAATATTTTCATCACCTCAGAAAGAAACTTGCGTTCTTCATCTGTCATCCCCAGTTCTCTCTTAAATTGTGAAAGACAGCTTTGCTCTCTGAAGCAGCCGTTTTACCTATATACCCATTAACAATCCACTCAGTGCCAGTTTCTTTCCTGTACATCAGAATAATCTTGATCGTTCTTATATATGCCAAAGTCACTTTTATAATAATATCCTTGTAAAATATTTCCAAATTATCTGTTTGTGGCTTTTATTTTTGTTTTTACTTGTTTACTTCTTTCTGATTCTGGGGATGGAACCCAGGGCCTCACACATACTAGGCAAGTGTTCTACCAATGAGCAACACTCCCAGCCCTGGGGTTTTAATTTTAATTTTAAAAAATATTGTTTTTTAAAACCTCAATAGTAATTGTAATAATCGTTTATAACATAAACCAACAAAAGACTTTTTTGAGACAGAATATTTTTTTCATCAACATTATTTAAAACCATTGGCATTAATAATTTGGGATTTTGCTTTTAAGTTCTCTGTAGACAGCGTACCCCTCACTACCTACATCACTACCCCTCACTACCTCTCATCACCTGCCCTCAGTAGACCCTGATTACATTGGCAGATCAGAATCCCCATTAAGTGGTGAGACAAGAAACCCTGGGCCAACTGAAGCCTTTGACCAGGAAGACTATTGGAGACAGTGTTTGGCTGGTGGTCTGAACAACTTTTTATACACTGTTCATACAAAAGTGAGGTACCTGTACACTATCTGGCCAGTCAACCACTCCTTCTTCCAGGGCGAAAACATAATTTAATGTCCCTTATGCTAACTAAACTCTTTTAGATATGAATGTGGCAAAGAAGCCTTTGAATGAACTGCCTCTATGGGGTAGGACTTTGGATTAGGTGTCTTAAATGCTATCTAATGACCTTGGATATGTATTCCTGATCACAGGCAGCCACGCTCAGTGCAAGTTAAAGTTAACCAACAGATATACTTGCTCACTTTATGTTAAAGTAAGTGACAATGTCTCCCCAGTTCTTATCCTAGAGAATACAGCATGGGTGCTTGATCTTCATGCTGTGTATGTGCACCTTAATGTGTGTGTGTGTGTGTGTGTGTGTGTGTGTGTAAAATCAACTCCATTTGACCTAGACCCTGGATTGCCAGGATCCTTTTCTCCTTGGAAGCAGGCTTACAGCTCAGCAAGAGATTTGAGAAAGTGAACATCTGCTCTTGCCCACAGCCCAGGGGAGGCACAAGCACCAAGGCAGAGCACACCTTGGGCAGGATCTGAGCCTGGGAGCAAAGGTGGCCATTCATGCCTTGTGCCCTGCTGGCTGCTTGCCCATTCCATGCAAGCCACGATCTATGACTAGAGCAGAATGTTTATCAAAGGGGGTAACCAGTGACTAATCATCTTCCCGTCTTCCTGAACAAATTGGTGGAGAAGAACAGATTCCTCTGAAAGTGATGTTAGTAAAGCTTCAGGTTACCCGAAAGGAAAACCCTGCACCTTCTCTGAGAATGTCCCATTTGGCATTTCCACCATGAAAAAGAGTCTTGAGCACAGGTCCCCATCCTGTGTCTAGTGCCCATGCGTATGCACACAGTTCTCAAAGCCTGATGGACCTAGCAGTCACTCATGATCCTTATTAGAGGTTTAGGTTCTGGGATCCTGGCCCAGGGGCTCTGCTTCCCCCAGGATGCACCCGAAATCTGAATTTTTAAAACTGCTCACCATTTTTGATGCCCATGGTCCATGCACCACCTGAGGAGCTACAGGTTTGTAGGCTGTGCAGTCAGAAAGCTCAACTTGGCCTTCCCAGCTCTTTCACCTGCTGGGCAAGTTCCCAGAGCTCCTGGGGCCCTGGTTTTAAATCAACCTCCAGGGTCTTTTGTGAGGCTCATGCGTGGTTCTCAGGCAAACAGTCCGGGAACCCTGCCCTGTTTCTCGCGTTCACCTTGGTGGTCTCACAGTGGAGGTCAACGCGCCACTCGGGCTGAGTCCTTCGGATCCCTCCTCCCCAGTGAGTTAAGCAGATCTTGTTCCCTGCCAGCCTTCAACACAGCCAAATGTGAGAAGCTGCAGAAGGAGAAGGAGGACCTGGAGCGGCGGTTCGAGGAGGAGCTGAGGAGGCTGGGCTGGCAGCAGCGGGCCGAGCTCCAGGAGCTGCAGGGGCGGCTGCAGGGGCAATTCGAGATGGAGATGGCGCGCCTGCAGGAGGAGCACCACAGCCAGCTGCTGCGCATCCGGTGCCAGCACCAGGAGCAGGTCAGTCGGGCCCCAGGGGAGCGGGCTCTGCTGTTGGGCAACTCAGGTGACAGGCGGAGGGGGGCCAGTGTCACGTGAGCAGGAAGTCCTGTTCAGTAAGTGACCTTGTGGCCGAGTTCACTCTCTAACTACAGTTCTTTCTTCTGACTCTCCCCACCTCTCCCCCGGCCTTAGGTGGCCTCCCTTGCTCTTTAACACTCTGCCGGGAATGCTGTCCCTCTAGACATTGCATGGCTCCCTCTTTCCCTTCCTTCCAAGTTTTTCTCCAACATCATCTTCTCAGTGAGGTCTTTCCCGATCTGAAATGACACTTCCTCCCCACTTGACATGCAGATATTTCCTGTCCCACCGCCCCTGCTATAGTCTGACATATTATAAATGTTTCTTTTGTCCCTTATTTATCATCTGCATATTCTGTGCAGGCAGAGACGATAACAGGCAAACACGTATTCAGCCCTGGTTTGCTTTTAGCTCTTTATATACAGCAGCTCATGGATCCTCACCATCACCCTACCTGGCAGGGACCATAGTCAGCCCCATTTTGCAGGTGAAATAACTGGGTCCCTGGGACTAAGTAAATAAGCTGTTGGGATTCAGAGCTGCCCCTAGGAAAGCCACAGTGGAATTCTGAATGGCTCCAGAGTCCATGCTGCCAATCACTAACTTAGAATGGTCTGCCAGGTTTTCTCTAGATCTCCACAGCTGGAACTGTGCCTGTAAAAAGTAGGCACAGAACACATGTTTGTGGAATGAAATAATGAGCTCCAGGAGTTAGCCTTAGCCCGGCCATCTGACTGGACAGGGAAATTCATCCATAGAATAATGAGGGAATGATTCCTCGGGGGCCTGTCAATGTGAAAAGTGGGCAGGAGCCAGATGTGCCCACCCCACGGCCATTACTGCCAAGAGCGCTGATGAGAGAGACAGGTGGAACCCAGACTCCAACAAATCTACCTCCGCGAAAACTGCACGGTGATTTTCTCTTCTTTCACGTTCCCAAGCTCAGATGCCTTGAGATCCACCTTCTAATTGGTGATTATTTTATATGTTCTGCTCATCATACACCCAAGGAAATTGACATTCATGAAGATGCCCTTTAAATCTCAGTGACACTCAGGGTAGTGCTTCATGGCCCTTCATTATCATGAACTTGCAGCTGTCTCCCAAGGTCACTTCCAAATAGACAGCCCAGATGGCAATACCATGCACCACCTCCCTGCTGCCCCAGGGGCTTGGGAATGCTGGGAAGCATAGGAGAAATATTAGAGTAATAGTAAGTACCATTACTGTAAAAAAGAATCTCTTGCTTCACAGTATCTTTTAGATATAGCAAGCATCTCAGGTTAGTCATTCTCCTTTTCTAGAGGCCAGTGAAATACAGCAGCACCTCCCTGCTTGAGGTATTTAAGACTTAAGTCTAGGACATAGAAGAGGTCTCAGCTTAAGTTACCTGCTGGTGCTAAAAGTGGAAACTGAAGTCTTGGCATCTTGCTGCTCAAGCTGTCTGAGTGCAACTGCTGGACGTAGACTGAGCACCTGCTACAGTCCCTGATCTCACCTCTTTCATGGCCCCTTGGTGTAAATGGAGGCCTCAAACCTGTTGCAAATATCAGCTTGTCCTGTGTCTCTATCCCTGGGCTATTCATCTCACTGTTAAACAGAGAACGTGTTTAGAACTGTGTTTCCCAAAGACTTCCGATCCATAGGTCTGGGGCCATTGAGAAGATGCCAAACGTTGGAGGTAGGCAGGAGGTGGTCAGCTGCAAGGGCAACCCCTGGGACGAGGGCTGGCATAGTGATGCCACATTGCCAGGGCCACTACCAAGTGAAACATTTTCCACCGGCAGAGGCATCTTGGGGCCAGGTCCTCTCTATGCACACACCAAGACCTGTTCATTAAGCTGGGTTTCAACAACCTTTTGGAGATTTCAAAAAGGAAGGAATTGAAAGGAAAAAGCCCTTCACTTCTGCATTTGAGAATGAGTTACATTAGCTACCTATGTCTATTTTAAAAGTGCTCAGTCTTATGGGGGCACTGATTCTGTTCTACTTGATCCTTTATGAGAGTTAAAACCATTTATTTACTTATTCTCCTATGCAAAGAGTATTTGAGTGCCCACTGTATGCAGAACACCATGACAGGGTTTGGCAAGAGATACAAAGATTTATAAAACGTGAGTTTGCTTATTTCATAGGAGCAGTTCAGGGACAAGTACCCAAGGAACTGTGGGATAGGGTGAGGAACACAGGTGATATGTTCAGGCATGGACAGTTGACGGTCCACTCTGAGGACAAGGGGAGGTGGATGGTGGAAACACCACCTTCATGCTCTGTGGGTGAGGGAAACCTCCCAACAGGGACCCAGAGCCTGGGGGAAACAATGATTCAAGTCTATGAATGATTTCAACCCCTGGTTCTGCTCTTCCTGCCAAATGGCTGTTTCCATGATCTTCAGCTTCCGCAGCAGAACATTCAAGAGGAGAGGAAGAAGACATGCACATCAGCTCAAGACTTGGATTTCCAGACAGATTAAATTCTCATTGGTCCCGTGGGAGGGGAGACTCAGTGGATAACTGAGGTAGAGACTCAGTCACTCCAGGCTGGACTCTCCACCTTGGATCTTCCTTCTCAAGGACAGTCACGTGTGGCAATGCTGACCCCATGGATAATGGCATCTCTGTCCTTCTGGAGCCTTTAAAAATCAGGTTACCCAGTCTGGCCTCTCCACAAAATCCAGTGTCCCTAAGGCCAGCAGCACGGGGCAGGGGCCTGCCTCAATTCCAACCTGTAGGATTCTCTGAGGCTTTGGAATTTACTGATGTTGGGACTTGCTCACCAAGGCAGGCTGACCTCTGGCTTCACCCTAGGATCTCTCCATGACAAAAGCAGCCGAATCTCCTCCTAGCTTAGCCATCCACTATCTCAAGGGGCAAGTACTGTCTCCCTGGCCAGGGACTGTGCTCTGGAGAAACATGGAAATCAGCTGAAGGACTTGCAGAACATTCATACCGGTTGAATTGGACTTGCTGCCTGGGGTCTGGCTGGGGGCTGTTTTGGATGGTTTCCCAGGAGATTTCCTGTGTACAGTGGCATTTGTTCTGAGAAGAACAGATCTTCTTCCTCAGCCTAGCATGTGTGTGTTAGGGGCCTGGCCATTTGGGCAGAGATGGGGCAGGACCTTGTATCTTGGCTTTTTAAATTGACTTTAAATATATGATGGGGCTTTTATTTTACTTTTTGGTACTGGGGATTGAATTCTACCATTGAGCTACATCCCCAGTTCTTTTTATTTCTTATTTTGAGACAGAGTCTCACTAAGTTGCTAAGGATGGCTTCAAACTTTCGATCTTCTTCTCAGCCTCCTAAATCACTGGGATTACATATGTGATCCACCACACCTGGCTTAGAACTCTAAAGTCTGGTGGTAAAGGTGTTTAATTAAAATCAGATAGAATGAGTTTTATAACAACAGAGGCCACAATGCCATAGATTCCCATTCTCAAAGCATGCAAACCAGATTTTCACTGTAAACATGTGTGTTTCTCTTTTTGCACCACACATTGTCACTTCTCCACCCAGCTTCTGGTGCTCCATACTGGGCCACCTTTAGTTGTTCTCCAGAGCCTGGTATTCAAGAATGAAATTCGTGACATTTGCCTGTCCCCCAGGATCCTTAGACAGTTTGTCTTCTATGGCAAGCTGCCCCAAGGCACTTGCTTTGGGGACTGCTTGTTCCTGGATGCACTGTGGATTTTGCAAAGATTCCTTCTCCTTGAGAAGGGCTCATCCTTTGGAGTTGAAATTTGCTTCGTCTCAAATCCAGGACATCCGTCCTACCCTTTCTTAATGAAATCATCCTTTTAGACTAAATGGCAGGAACAGCATCCCTATGATTCCTCTGAACGCAGACACCACTTTGTCTATCATGTTGCATTATGGTCTCCTTAACCCGCCTGTCCAGCAGGCTCCCAGCTGCCGTGCAGAGGAAACCACATTCTCTGTAATCAAATAGAATGAGATCCTGGGGGGGGGCTCACTTCCCCAGCATCTAGCACTAGAGCTCCCTGTGCTAGGAGGAGGCTCTGCAGGGGAGATGGAGCCTCTGTGGACACCTGCCCATGGGGTGGGCTGTAGAGAGGGCAAAAAGCAGAGGGATGGAGTGGGACTGGGAGCCCCCGCACGCACGGCTAGCCACCTGCTCTGAGCTGATGATAGCAGGGAAAGACTGAAGAAGGGTCTTCTAGTAATCAGGCAAAGGAAAGTCATCAGCAGAGCGCCAGAGAGAGCAGGCGTAAGCCAGCATCCTCTGTCTCCTCCAGTATGAGACATGTCTGGGAGGAGGACCAATGGGAGTTTAATCTGGTTTTGTTTAGTAATAAAAGCTCAGATAATATAGAGCACGTGCTTCTTTATTTGAAATGTAAGTCTTCTCTAAGTGAATTGCCAAAGTCCCAGATAATTAAATTTTGCAAATGGCTAAATGAAGTAAACTGCACAGGGTGGCTTTCCAACCCTTGGCTCTATTTTAACCAGCCCAGCTGAATAGCAAGGGGCAGTGGGAATGGAGTCACGTCACAGCGAATAGCTGGTTTTCAGAACAAGCAGGGCTATTTGATGGGCAAATTGACAGACTCCTACAGGGCACAGTCCAGAGCGCCATCTTTGTGGAGGAAAGCAGAAGGTGGGCCAGCAGTGGTTTAATGGGGGCTGTACCAACTGTTCTAACAAAAAGAGAAGGATGCTTCAGTCAGAGGAAGCTTGCTGTAGGCTGGCAATGGTTTAGTAGTGCCTTTGTCTCTGATCCCCTGATTTACAATGTGTAGATAGATCATCTTGTGTTTCCGTTGGCCCACTTCTCCAAATCTGCTCAAATACCTTCAGAGGGTTTCAAGGTCTTCTCACACTGGGGACTCTTACTGGCTGCTTCATAACTGTGAGCTGGTCATCTAGAAAAGAACCAGGAGGGGCTGGGGCTATAGCAGAGCACTTGCTGCCCTCCTGTGAGGCACTGGGTTCAATCCTCAGCACCACATAAAAATAAACAAATAAAATAAAAGCATGCTGTCTCTCTACAACTACAAAAAAAAAAATAAAATAAAATTTAAAAGAAAGAAAGAAAAGAACCAGGAGCCATAGGAGGAGAAGTCAAAGTGATTTAAACCATGGTAGGAGAGGGGATAGCCCATAGTGGATAACATCTCTTCCTCATTGAGGGAACATTCCTTAAAAACCATAAACATTCCTTTAAAAAGGTGCATAAAAATTGCCGAAGAGCGAGGATTACTGTGTTCAACTTTGGCCTCACAGGATGTCACTGGTTTCCCTCCAAATATACTGGTCATCCCTCTAATTCCATATGGACTTTTAGACTTAGGCTATCAGTATTTCATTCATAAAAGCACCTCCTAGCGTCAGCAGTGGGTATAGCATGCCCTTACGCCATCCTAATATGTTGGATGGGGATTTCCATCACAACTAAATCAAAGACGCGTCTTCCAACAAACCATAAAGGCATTCATTTTAGTCGCAAACAGAATGTGGTATTGCCAATTGGGACATGTCCACCTCCAAGGACACATGGATTCTTCTGGAACTTAGTCCTTCCATCTTTTCTGAAACCTGGTGGTTTATGTGAAAGCTCCGTGAATTGGAATCATAGTGAGAACCAATGAAAGATTTTTCATTTTATATACTGAACTCTGTAACATCTCCAGATAATGTGTGGGTACTTGTTTCTACAGAGAGGAGAATATATTGTGTGTTTAAATGACATCTGAAATTGAGCAGAAAGAAATGATATTTCCTTTTCCTTTTATTTAACCATTGATTTATTTTTCCAACAGGCTGAAAGGCTTTGGACAAAGATTCCATTAAAACCTCATATAAACAGGAATTGGACAATTAAATACCATTGTAATCAGCCTTTCTGCTGAGTGGATTCATAGCTCTGAGCCTCAAGTAAAATATTGTTTAATCAAGAATGTCCAGTAAATAAGAGTGAATTGTTGCATAACAAGTTCATTTTCACAATGAGATACAGCTTTCCTAGGTAATTCTGTGGGTTCCATTATTGCTTTTATCCAATGATTCTTCCTATTTTAGAGAATAAAAATCTCATTTACCTTAAGAGGAAAGTCAGGAAATTTTTCCCATAAAATTATATGATTCACAATGGGAATCTAGCCATTTTTAAATGAAAATTCTCTCATGGGTTGGTAAGCAGGCTTTCCTTCTTGTAAAGAGCCCTTCCTCCTTTTAGATCACAGAAGAAATTGTAAGAATTATCCCCCAGAGAAATGAGATTCTTGCAGAGGTGGCTGAATATTACCAGAGAGAAGCAGTGGGTTCCTAATCAGTCCACCTAAGTGCTTCAGGACCCAGACACATTGTCTGATTCTGGTTTTCAAATGGCAGCTTTTCATACATTCCTAGGTCATGAAATAAGTTTAATGGCTTTTAACTAGCATTCTGTAAAATAGAATAAAAGTTTTAAAACCAAATTATTGTAAGTTCCAGGAGAAGTATTATCTTGTGACAGTTTGGTTTCAGATATGGAGTTGTGCATGCATGTGTGTACATGTGTGCTGTGTTGCAGTCCACGGTGGAATTTTTTTTTTGCAGTGGGTCACTCTCAAAGAATTCAGATGAACATCATATGGTGTGCTATGTCCAGGAGAGATTTGCTATCCTAGGGAGAGGTTGTTTTATGCCATTACTCCAGTAAGTCTTACATTTGAAGTTAAACAAAACCATAGCCATGATTAAAAAACACAACATCAGTGAACATGATAGGCAAGATGATGGGTAGGAATTGGTGGGGTTGAAGAAACAGGAAATGTGAAAATTAAAAGTCCTGACTGCCTGCACATTGTCACCTGGGGAGAGGAGACAAGCTTATGTTTAGGAACTTGCAAACACATGTAAATCTGCTGGCCTCATCTAGGCTTTGATGAAGGGATCTAAAGTGTTACTTGATGGTCTGACTTGGGTAGAGGCCACAGTGGTGTGTTTGAGAGAACTTCACCTTTGGGGTCAGGCAGACCTGGACCCTGCTGTGAGCTCCGCCATTTGCTAGCCCTTGGGCAAAACATTTTATACCTCTCTAAGCCTCTGGTTCCTCATCTGTAGAAAGTGCATAAAAATATTGATTTATAAAGTTGCTCTGAGGGTTAAGTGGAATAACCCAAGTCAGGTAGCTTAGTAAATGTTAGTTCCCTCCATTTTGAAGGGAGGATGCTTTTCTTTTCTTTTTCCATCTTTACATCATAGAGTGGTGCAAAAGGAAGGGATAGGAGTGGAAAGAGAAACCAGACCAGGGCTCTGAAGAACTGGATGAGGTAGCCATCGTCAAGTGGAGCCGCCATCTTTCTTCCAACCGCCAGATTACAGCAGTGATTCCCCCATGACTCTGGGAACTGCCACATCTCCAGCAAACCCTGACTCTCCCTTGGCACAAGGTTGAGGGTGAATGTCACCTGATGTCCGAGGCCACTGGCTTTTTTCTTCTCCTTGAATCAAACCTCTGTTTTCTTAGCAGTGAGGATATCACTGGCAACCTCTGCCCACCTCCCTGGTAACCAGTATTGTGACTCCCCTTCAGGTGGAAGATATCACCGCCAGCCATGAGGCTGCTCTTCTGGAGATGGAAAATAACCACACGGTTGCCATCGCGATCCTGCAGGATGACCATGACCACAAAGTCCAAGGTACCTACCAGCCTTGTATGCAGCAGAGAGCGGGGAGCTGTGCAAGTCAAGCAGGAGCCCTTCTCTTCCTTCTCTCCTTCTTTTTCTTCCTGGTGCATCCTTTGTGTTGGTTCCTGTGAAAAGAGGAAATAGAAATGAAGGATTCAGGTAGGGGTGGGGATGTCCACCAGTGGTAGAGCACTTGCCTAGTATGCATGATGTTCTGGGTTTGATCGTTAGCACTGGGCGGGGGCTGGGGGGAGGATGTAGGTAATTTCTCTATTCCAGAGCAGATTTTCTTAACCTTGCCTAAATACTGAAATCCCCTGGGGAGCTATAACAAAAACACATGTCAGCTTTGTTCCCACACCCGGGATCCTGATGTAGTTGGTCTGGGCTGTGGTGAGGACATCAGGATTTCTTATGGTTCCTTGGGTGATTCTAATATGAAGCCTGACTTGAGGACCACTCTTCTGAAGCAGGCAAAGAAATCTCAGGCTTCCTCTTGTGCTATGGTCTTATAAAACCAAGCGGAAATGCCAATGAGGGTGCACTTTCCTCACACGTGTGGTGCTCTTAGGGCCAGAGCAGCATCTCCCGAGTTTGTCTTCCTTGTCCCTATCCACCATATAGATAAGTTGAGTCCCCAGATCTTTATTTCAATATTTTTGCAAATGAATTATCTTTGTGTTGTGGTTTGGTTGTGGCTTATTTGTGTGATAGAGGATTGGTCCCCAGTGTAGCAATAGAAGGGATAATAGAATCTTGAAGAGGTGGCACCTCATAAGAGGTCCTTAGATCATTGGAGATATGCCTGCAGAAGGGATTGTGGGGTCCCAGTCACCCTGACTTTCTGTTCGATGAGGTGATCTCCTTCTTCTGGTACTCTGTGTTAGTCAACTTTCTGTCACTATAACAAACTACCTGAAATAATTAACTTAAAGAGAGAGAAGTTTTGTTTCAGGTCAGAGTTTTAAAGATGGCAATCCAGATCAATTAGCCTCATTGTTTTGGGCCTGTGGTGAGGCAGTCCATCATGGGAGTGTGTGGCAGAGCAAAATCACTTGCCTCATCGCCAGGAAGCAAAGGAGAAGGAGAAGAGGGCAAGTGTCTCCCAATCTCCTTGTAGGACATATCCCCAATATCTAAAGACCTCCGACTGGGCCCTACTTTTTAAAGATTTTGCTACCACCAGCCTAGTGACCAAGCATTTAACACATGGATCTTTAGGGGACACTCAAGATGCTATAGCATTCTCCCACCACGAGTCCTGCACTAGATCTGAGCTGATGTTAGCACCTTGCCTTTAAATCTTCTGAACTGTGAGCTACAGAAAACTTTTTTTCTTTATAAAAGAAACCTGCCTCAGGTATTTCATTAGAGTAACAAAAAACAGATGAATGTAATTTGGATAAGATTTTATGCAAGCCATAAAAACAACATTAGTAGATTCTACTTGGATTTTCCTTTGGGAAATAAGAAGCTTTTTACACTTTCAAATGCATTTATATTCATATATGCAACTTATTTTTTTTTAATTTCCCTGTCTTTTAATTTTTCCCTCAGTAGAGCTGGTTGTTAAAAGTATATATTAAAAACAATGAAATTTAACAATGGATTAATAATGTTTTTAAAATCTGAGAATGAACATCAGAAGTTTTTATTCTTAAAATATTCTTAGTAAACAACAAAACCCACAGTGCAGTAATCCATTTCGTGTTATTGCCTCCCTCAAGTGCCAGCCCCACCACCTCTGGGAACTATTAGTAAGTGAAAAAGTCCATGCTGGAGGCAAGAAAGAATAATTTTCCAAGAACTAGTTAAATATATTACTTGTGTCCTTGGAGTACTAGTCCCTATGGTTGACTGCACATTAGAACAACTTGGAGAGTTAAAACAAACAGCACATCTAATCCCCTCAGAGATTCCAATGTAATTGGTGTTAGGTTCCGCATCAGGATTTCCTAAAACTCCTCAGGTGATTCTAACATGCAGCAAGATTTGAGAACCATTGTTCTAGAGCACAGTATTAAGATAGGACAGATTGTCGTGAAATAAAGAACTACAATATGGGGACACATATTATGTAAGAAGCAATGTTTGTGTCATCTTCAGAATAGATGCTGGATTTCCTTTTCCCCTGGGGTTTTAGGGTCGTCTGAAAATGTCCATCATAGCACCATAGAAACCTGATCTCAGGAAAGGAAATATGAATGCAAATGGTGTGCTAATCAATGATATTATGTTGTCTTTTGTTTGTGGATTTCACATAAATAAATCTGATAGATTTTTTTCTCACAAATGAAATCTTATTTGGACATCACATCCAAGGCCTTTGAATTATCTAATGTGAAGACAAATGTGGGTATATGTAATAATAGCTAAAATTATCATTATTATGCTTAGAATGATGCCCTCAATGCCTCTTTTTTAAATTTTAATTTGTTATATATGACAGCAGAATGCATTACAATTCATACTACACCTACACATTACAGATTTTTCATATGCAATTTTTCATCTCTCTGGTTGTACACCAAGTAGAGCCTCAATGACTCTTAACTAATCATTTACACAAAGACAGGTAGACCAGAAGGCTACTTGGTTTTATGTCAGAGAAATCAGCATAAACTCTTTTTTTTTCCCCAAATGCAAATTTCAGCCATGGCAACTAGATTTCTTAGCAACCCTTACCACCATTAGTTAAAAGATTTGGATCAATGGAAACCACAGAGTTTTTCCTAATTGCAGTTCATGCCAGCCAAAATGGTAATTGCTGGTCTCCAGTACTCACCTATTCTAAGCATATGATCCGGTCTGATTAATGACCTTTCCTCTCTCTTGTTATTAACATGAAAACAAATTGCTTGTATAGCCAGAATGAAATGGGCTTCACCCAGCTAATAAGTCTCTTCCCATCTGGAGGAAAATAGAATCCATTTGCTTAATAACTCCTACATGACATTTCTTTCTGCCTAACTTGCAAATTACTTCTGGGATGACACATTTCATGGAACAGAATTGCTGCAAACCCTCCAAGAGGAACCAGTTTGATTAGTCTTTCATTCTGACCAAGTATCTTCACACTGGATCTTGGCTCATGCAAATTCTCAGGGTCTGTAGTTCTGAGTGTGGCCCAGAGGCCACCAAAGGGTCCTTGTAGACCCGGCACAGGTCCCATCCATGCCGTCCATTCTCCAGCAAGGCTGGCAGGACAGCTATTCTGCAGGACCACTTTCCTTAGAAAGCTCCTTCCCCAGTCCCCAGAAAAGTCCTGTGATGGGGAGAAAATGGGCATCTAATGTGAAGTACCCAGTTGTTTCACCATTAGGAAAAGTGAAAGGATTGATGAGCACTGGGAACAAAGGATCTGACCTGGCCCGGCTGGTTGTGCCACAGGATGCAGATGGTGTGTGTGTGTGTGTGTGTGTGTGTGTATACGTGTGTATGTGGACATGGATGTGGACCTGTGCGAGAGCACAAGTGCATACATGTGCTCTGATTCTCCCTCTTTCCTCTTCCCCTTTTTTCTCTCCTGCCCCTCCTTCCTTCCTGCTCTATTTCTTTTACATTGCAACCTGGTCATCACATACAAGCTGGAGTAAAAGACTCTTTAGCCTTAAATCTGTTATATCCAGGATTTATTTATTTACCTAAAGTTATTAGCCTTAGTTGGCCCAGAGCCTTGTTCTATCCTTTTCAAAAGAAAAACCAACGTAATAATTTGATATCAACAATGTCTTCACTCCAGAATTGATATCTACCCATGAACTTGAGAAAAAGGAATTAGAAGAAAATTTTGAAAAGCTGCGGCTGTCATTACAGGTTAGTGTTTCCTTGATCTTCTTAACTGATATCAACGCAGCAGGAGCAGCAGCTGCAGCATTTCTACTCACAAACATTTATCCAGCACCAACTAAATACTAGATCCTGATTTAAACACTAGAATATACAGGTAAATAAGACATATTCCCAGCCCTTTAGGAATTGGTGGTAAGAGAGCTGTGACACAAATAGTATCAGACAGCCACAAAAGGTAACACATAATTGCTCCAAATGAGGAACACAGTGGGTGAGCGCCACAGAAGTGCTGTAACTGGAGACAGATGGGTAACTAAGCTGTGTCTGAAGAAAGGACGCACACAAGGAAGAGAACGTTCTAGGCAGGGGCAGTGGTGCAAGGGGAGCTGCAAGGTTGATTCATGGATTACACTCTGGGTATTTTAAAAGAGACTTCAGTCACCTGGAGGTTGGCGAGATGAAAAATGCCCCTTCTGCCTCTTACTGCCACTTAAAGAGAATGTCAGAGAAGCTGCCTGGCTTCCCGTTGGTCTCCAGGGGAACAGCAGGTCTCCCAGGTCACGTGCACCTCCCTTCTACCTTCCAGAGGCCCAGGCCAGCTGCTTCTGTGAGAGGCCAGTGACAGTCCCAGCCCTAAGGAATTGCTGCCACGCAAGCAAGGGGCAGGGGCAGGGGCAGGGCAGTGGGTTGGGGGAACCAGTTTCATTTCCAAGTGGAGAAAGACTGACCATAAAAAGATTATTTTTCTAAATATTAGGGAGACTTGTACCTAGAAATCATGGAAGATGATCCCCATAACTAATATATAAGCAGGAATTTTGCTTCTTCCATGTGGGGTCCCTTTTCCTTGGCAGTATACATTATATAGATGCTCCCCTGCCCAGAAAAGCAAAGCACCCAGGGTTGTGGAGATACCAGTGTCACAGCTATGGAGTGCACTATTGGAAAACTTTAGAGGGTGGGGGTATAGCTCAGTGACAGAGCTTGCCTTACATGCGCAGGGCCCTGGGTTCCATCCCCAGAACCACACACACACACATAAACACTCACAGGGACCCAGTTTTGTTTCATCATTTCATCTTTCCTCTGCCACTAACATCAAATGGTCATAAATTCTGCATATTTTGGTCATAGCTCTTCCCTCAGCATAATCCATCTGGGCTGAAGACGATTCAGTACAAGGTATATGGAGTTGCTACAGCCAACTTCCTTGGGCTACTGGCTGCTAGAGAAATAGCTAGTTTGGGCAGTTACAGATTTTGAGCTTTGGGTGTAAGACTTTTCTGGCCTGTCTTTACTAGCTTTGAGGTCTTTGACAATTACATAAACTTCTGTAAAGTTAGTTTACTCTCCTGTGAAATGGAGATGACAGAGGTACCTCTCTCAACATGTGGGCAGATTAAGGGAAATAATGTGTGGAAAGTGAGTAGCACTACCTTGGCTTGTGCCAAGTGCTAATAAGTAGCAGCTCTTGCTATGACAATAGCTGCAACCGCTGTGACATTTATGATTATCATCACTATTGTTATCATGCCATCTGTTGACTTGTGAGTGGTCCATGCTGGGTAGGGCCACCAACTGGGTCTTTGTGTCTCAGCCTGACATAAAGTAGCAAACCCAAGTTGAGAATCAGCCTGTCTTGTCTGATTACTGCAGCACTGTTCTGTCCCTGTGGGTCTGTTTTGAATAATGGTGAACAAGTCAGAAAAATCGGTTTGGTATTTTAGATCCATCCTGGGTGGTAATTGTCTGATGTTTGGCTTTTTAATGATGAGGAAGAGGTGAAAGGAAATGCTTCCTTGGACAGCTCTGACGAGGTGTGGGGTGAGCCTCAGGTGGCCGTGCAGACATTTTTATAGGCACATTCTGGAAGGTAGCCGCAGCAGCACAGTGGACCTGCGCTGAGCCCCGCGGGGCCGCCCTCAGCGGTGATTTCCCTGCGCTTGTCAAGTGCATACAAACTCCCACTGACAACTCTATTGCCCTAATGTACGAGCATTTGCATTTAATGGTACCGTGGGGACTTTTATTTGTTCAAAAGGAAATGCAAGTAACTGGAAGAAAGAAAAAAGGAAAGAAAGAGGAAAAAGGAACCCGCCCAGGGATGTTTGCAAACCAGAGCATCTGCCAGGATGAAGGAAGGAAGCAGACCTTGATACTAGAGTCCCTGGGTGGAGTTACAGAATTTAAAGTACCTGCTCCTACTAGTTGGGGGGATGAGGCCATTTCTCTTGCCAGAGGAGTTCATGGGAGACCCTAGTCCCTGTGCTTTAATAGTACAGAAATGGAGTCCTGGGGTGGAGGACTTTGGAATACTCAGCCTGAGTGAGCCAGAAGAATGAGGCTGTCCTTAAGCATCATAAGAAAGTCACTGTCCAGCGTCCTTCACTCCATGGTGATGAGGCCCACAGCTGAGGCTGGGTGGGGAGGGGTCAGTGTAGTTTCCTCTGCCCTGGGAGCTGGGGAAGGGGCTCAGTGACTCCTCAAACACACCTTTGTTCCTTCAATATATACATAGAAAGCTGCCTGTGGCTGGCATGTGCTGGGGACTGGGAGTGTCACTCTAGTGGGGAGAAGGTAGGACATGCTGGGTGGCTCGGCTCATAGAGTGACTTGTACTGGGGACCTGCTACCCAGCCCTGAGCCCAGAAGGTCAGCTGGGGCCCAGAATTGAGGAGGGGATGAGAGGGAACGGGCAGAGGAAGGTGCCGGCAATAGGGAAGGTGGAATGTGAGATCTAGAACCCGGCTGGCTCTGATCTGTATGAGGAAGGTGCATTCACCTTGAGGACAGTGGAGGTGCAGCTAGTGGGACAGCAGGTTCAGGTCTGTGTGCTATAAGGGCAGCCTGGCTGTGGCCTGCAGGCAAGAGAGCAACCAAGGAGTTCTGGGGCTAGGAAGGAGCCACCGAGGTGCCTGAGCCTGTGTGGAGGGAGCAGGAAGGGCGGAGTTCATGGGTCCAGGGACATGAATAGGCCGGACTTGCTCAAATGCCAAGTCAGCAATTAGAGGTCTTGGTGGTGGTGGTGGGAGGGGTCTCAGGGCAGAGAAGGAAGCCCAGGAGGGTGCGAAGGTTTCCAGCTTCAGCTTTATAACCGAGAACAATGCTTTGCGATAGACTAACTGCACAGGGACGTTATTTACTTGCAGGACCAGGTGGACACACTGACCTTCCAGAGCCAGTCTCTGCGGGACCGAGCCCATCGCTTCGAGGAGGCTTTGAGGAAAAACACCGAAGAGCAGCTGGAGGTAGTCACTGCTGTCCAGGCTCCCAGCACCTTGGAGGCCTGGTGTCCAGCCCAAGGACGAGGCTTCTGTGCTGATCTGCTGCCAAAGTGACAGCTGATCACAACCTCCCTGCGAGGCTTAAACAATGCCTGCCAGCGCCTGTCCCCTGAGACAGGCCACAGCTGTGGGTTTCTCCATCAACCTGTCATTTTTTACCAAATCCCAAAGCACCCCCCAGACAGGGTCCCTAGGCTCCTGTGATAGGAACAGTCTAGACACTCCACCCCAAGCCTCTTGAGGCTGGCCCCAGGACACCAGCTGAGGCATGAATTGAGGGAAGCTTTTTCCAGAAAACCTAGAAACCCCTTCCCTCTAGTGTAGTGCTGACAGCAGAAATGCACAGCACCCAGTTAAATCTGAACAAAGGTAGGTGATGTTTTGAAGATAAGTATCTCCCATGAAATACACTAAAACATTTTTTCATGTTGTTTGTCTGAAATTCAGATTTTGCAGTTGTCCTGGGTTTTTATTGCTTGCATCCCTGAACCCTGCTCTAACATGTCTTTTTCTTAAATGACTTTTCTGCTTTTTAAGCCACTTTGGTTTTTTCCCATGTATGAGGGCAAGACCTCGCCATGGGCTCACGTGGCATCCACAAGGTCCCCGGTTGCCTGGTGAATCAAGGTGTCTAGGAGCATGTTCAAAGGCAGCGTTGGATTCTTTTTGCACCATGAGTCTCCTTCTGGGGGTGGTGGCAGCATCCAGCCATTCTAGTATCCAGACTTTTTAGTGGATGATGGCCATGTCGATGGCCGTGTCTCACAGCTCCCCACCACCCAGAGCTGGGTTTGCAGGAGAGTTCTCAGTGGGAAGCTAGCAGGGCACCTTAGCTGGGGAGGCTGTGAGCCTCCTGGCTGGCTCTCTGGCTGGTGCTGCAGCTGCCCACCAGAGAGCTTGTTACAGGCCACATCTAGCTGGATTCACAGCCGAGGGTCATGCTAGGTTTTGCTGGGGACCCTGGCCCACAGCTCCTGGCTCTTTGCCCCTGTAGATTGCACTGGCCCCTTATCAGCACTTGGAGGAAGACATGAAAAGCCTGAAGCAGGTGTTAGAGATGAAGAATCAGCAAATACACCAGCAGGAAAAGAAGATTATTGAGCTGGAAAAGCTGGTGAGTTGGTGACTTGCTTGGGAGACAAACTGCTGTGATTTTCCTGCTGTTGTCATTGATGTCCTCAACATTGACGGTGTTCAGCCAGACGTGCCCCTTCCCTGCCTATTGTTCACATGTGAGCAGGAAATTCCATAGCTGAGCCCAGAGGCCATTCTCAGGAGGCCCAGGGTTCTGATGAGGAGTCGCAGAGGTGGCCTGACTTTGTCCATCTCTGAGGCTTCCTCGTTGCCTGTCTCTTCTCTACTCTGGTTTCCTGTGTAAGTGCCAGGTCCTCCCTCATCCCTGAAGGATGTGTGACTGGTGAGCCAGCACAAAGGAGCATCTATCACGAACGTGTGCCCAGTGCCGTGCAATTCATTTGTTTTCCCACTCCTGCTGCTGCTGTGTGGCCTGGCTTGTGTGGGGACGGGCCACACTGGGAGCAACAGCCATCTTCCTCCTCCGGGCTGGGTTGTCTGCCCTGGGCCTTGCACCAGCCACGGAGTTAGTCTGACTGTCCTGAACCGTGTTCCAGCTCTCTGCAGGCAGGCACCACATCTCATTTCAGAAATCTTTCCAGGCAAATGAATTGATTTGCTCACTTCCCTTCCTGGGAGCAAAGTTGAGGGTCAGGTGGGGTCCCTTGCTAAAGATTAGGGACAGAGGCCAGTCCTATGGCGAGGGTTCCAAAGCCCTCATCATGGGCAAGTGACAATTTTCTTGAAAGATTAACTACATGAACAGTGAACATGTCCATTCTTTCGAAATATAATTTATTTCTAAATCATTCTAGAATGAAACTGCACAAGACTAGGTCTCAGGCCCTGGGGGACACACTGACAGCAAAAATGTCATAAATTGTGGGGGAAATACAACCATGGGCTGGTGGGATTCTCTGATAATGTGCCAAGCTGATCTTGGGCTTCGTGTTCCTGGCTGCCCTTGACCCCAATAGGAAAAAAAAAAAATACGTTCATATCGTTTGTACTTCCATGAATTCACAAGAGTCTCTATGGGATAGTGTGTGCTTACCTGGCCAGGGACACTGATGCAGTAGAGTTGACCCTTTGGGAAGAACTATAAGACCCACTGGTCACATTAGGTCCTAGTGCTAGCCACCATTTGTATTTGACAATGACAGTAGCCTGGGACACTCACTCTAAGAAATATATTTACACAGAGCCCAGTACACATATATACATAATATATACAAAATAAAAAAATTTATATCCACAACACAGACAACAGTGCTTACTTTTACTACATACTCTGGCATTTTTCTACTCTGTTTTATTTTGTTTAAAACAAAAATGCTGATCACATCCCTCTAACCTGATTTTACAACCCACGAGTGCATTGTAAAGGGCAGTTTGCAAAATTTTGCTCTTGATAATTCTCCAGTGCCCAGAAGCAGCGGGTACTGGTTTATTGCATATCTTGCTGAAACTGTCTTATATACTGTCTCCATTATAGGCAGAAAAGAACATTATTCTGGAAGAAAAGATCCAAGTCCTCCAACAACAGAATGAAGATCTTAAAGCAAGGATTGACCAGAACACAGTTGTCACCAGGTAGGAGTCTGGGCTTACAGATCATATGTCACCCTCAAAATGGCCTTTCCCTTAAGCATCTCTCATCTAATTTGCCTTGCTCTGAGCTTCAAAGATTCCTTGTGTAGTCTTTTAGCATTTCCCATATGAGCAGAAAAACAAAACAAAACACGTAGCTGTGACCCTCTAGCCTAAAACCTGGAGGGGAAGCTGGGGAGCAATGCCCCCCCACCGCACCAAGAGAAATGAGAACAATTGGCAAAAGCAGGTGGCAGGGGCCACCACCAGCACTGGGAGGTCAAGAGATTTGTTTCTGTAGGAGATTGAGAGAAAAACAGCAGTAGAGTGTTCCCAGGCAGAAGAGAACCAACCATCCTACTCCTCCTGGCTTCCAGAATCTTCCCTTTCCATCTCAGTCCTGCCTATCCCTGCAGGATCTGATCTGGGGAGCCCTCACTTACAAGGAAGGGGATGGGTTCCTCACTCCCATAGTGCAGATGGGCCGAGGCAGGATTTTGCTTTGGGGCCTGCTGAGGCTCTTTCATCCACAGGACTGAGCCACCTTGGTGAGACTCAGGCCGGAAGCCTTGCCCACTCTACCGACCTGGGCTCCTTGGTGCACCTATGGTGTGTCCTCCTGTGCACATACACTAGACAGGGCATGCTCGAACAAACACCCACATACACTTACATATACACACACTGGGCACACTCACCTGCCCTCCTGCTCACACACACTCACACTCTACCCTCAGTCACACATTAACCTCACACCCACTCACACATGCTCTTGCACAAATGCAGACACACACGCACACAGCCATTGGCTCTGCAACTGAACCCCTGATGCTGCCTCTTGGTTCTCACTTCAGAGGCACACAAAAGACTGTAGGTAGGGTGCAGGTCACAGTGTCCTTGTCCTGTGGGTCCCCAAGCCCTAGGCTATAGGTGGGCTGTCTCATCTGCCTTCCTGCAGACACAGGCTGAGAGTGGGAGGAAGTGTCAGAGAGGCACTGCCCTCCAGGAATGTGCAAGTCACCCTCATCAGAAGAGCAAATGCAGGCTTTGTCCTAGAGGGCTTCAGTCTGTCCAACTGTCAGGTGCACATGTACTTTCCCCTGTCAGTTCCCCAAAAGTGCTACCAATTTGTGAAACATACAACAAACCAGCACCTCAGTCTTCATGGGGGAAGGCACAAAAAGCATAATCGTATTTCATCCAGCATCCTTTATCAGCAAACATTAACCAAGCATCTATTATGTGCCATGTGGGAACCCAGGGAGTCAACAAGCAGAGCCTTGGCCCCTGTCCTCTAGGGCTTCCCATCCAGTGGTGGACAGATACACAGACAGTTTCTGCAGCAGGGTGGACAGTTTCTATGGTGAAGGCTCGCGCCTGGGGCGGGAGGCCAGGGCATGGCACCCCCAGCTGCCTGGAGGCCATCACCACCCTGTGCCATGGCATGGTCAGTGTCCATCTCCATGAGGTTGACTCTCTGCCAAGCCTTTCAGCAGTACACCAGCACTGACCCTGCCTCCCTCCTTTCTTCTCCAGTCTCTGCTATTTTCTGTGGGCACTGGGCAGCCAGTATGTACCCTTAACCTTCCAGAAGCCACGTGGGCAGATCAGGTGTTGGCAGAGAGGCTCTGGAAATGAATGAGCCAGGGAGACGGAAGTTAAGTTTCAACCAAAGTTCTTGGTCCCTGGGGCAGACCTGTCCTTGTTCCCCGTGAAGGCCATGGCCTCCTCCTCTCCTTGCTCTCCACCCGTCCCTGACCTCAGGTTCAGTGTCATTAGCTTCTTGCTGCCTAACTGTTTGTCACCTCCCTCCCCCATGCAGACAGCTGTCAGAGGAAAATGCTAATCTCCAGGAATACGTGGAGAAAGAGACCCAGGAGAAGAAGAGATTGAGCCGAACCAATGAAGAGCTGCTTTGGAAGCTTCAAACTGGGGACCCAACCAGCCCAATTAAACTCTCCCCCACATCCCCCGTTTACCGAGGCTCCTCATCCGGGCCCTCCTCCCCAGCCAGGGTCAGCACCACGCCCAGATGACGTCACCACGCAGCCTTCGGGAGCTCAGGCTTCTGTCCACCCTGGGGAGTGCTGACCATGTGCTGGCCAAGTGCCGGCGGCCGCCCTGCGCGCATGCTCAGTAGCTGCATAATGCATCCTAGGCAGCATCCTCTTCTGACCCCTGTGTAAGACTGTCGTGGTGTTGGCGCTTAGGAAGGTGTAAACAGTAGAGTCTGATGTGCAAAAACGTTTTACCATAGTTAGAGCCAAAAGACAACTCCAATTGTTCTTGAGTGATGAACTTTCACTGCAGAATTTCAGGTTAGTTTCAAATAGCTCAATTTTGAATATACATTGAATAATCATTGTGTACTGCACCGATATGTGTGTATATTTAGATATACGTATATACACATGCAGCGGTTCTGAATTGCATTTTTTATAACGTGATTTGCTGACATATTTTAGTGAAGGTCAGCAGTTTTCTAACTTGTGCCTAAGAATTATTGGGAAATGAAAATGCATTTCTATCCAGCTTCCTAGGAATATTTCTACCCAAAATAGAAAAAGGAAAAAAAAAAAAAAAAAGAAACAGAGAAGAAGCGCCTTTTGATCTACCACCAAGTGGTACTCTAACACAAACACCAGCGATTTGTGAATGATAACTGCCTTTGGAACAACTGGCTTCATAGTCAACATGAGTGAGGTCACTAGTATTCCATCTGCAAGTTTTAGTTACAAATCCTCCAGTTGTGAGTGGATGAGGGATAACAGTGGGAAGCCCCAAGGGGGTTGAAAAGTTTTGCCAATGTTACTCATGACAGTGACTCATCTATACAGTCTTGTGACACAAGTTTTGCTTTTTTTCCTAAATGGCATCTTGGAATTGGTCATAAGCTATTAGTGTACCCTCAAAAAAAAAAAAAAAACATGGAGGAGCATGACCTTGTAGAGTGAGGGTGAGACCTTGGACATGACCTTGGAGATGACCAAGACCATTTGTGTCCTATCCTCATGAAGGAATACTGCTGATGGATCCATATTTGACCAGGCACAGAATAGAAAAGCATCCTCCTCATTCCATTACAGCTCTAAAGGATGCTGTGAACAGTCAACTCATTGAAATCTGACCCTCAGGCCTGCATTTCCTAGGCAACCCCATTTCAATTTGGTTCTGTATCTCAATCCCATCATTCACATTGAGATGGCTCAGGGGTTCTAGCAGGGACTTCCAGAAAACCAAACTGTCTAAGAGGTGCTAGATCATCACATGATCTCCCTGAAACCCAGCTGTACTTTCTCCCGGATGATTGAGCAATTCTGTATCTGACCGTGGTCCTAACCTAGGACCAGAAGGATCTCCCAAACAGAGAAGCCCAGTGAAACAGCCAACCAGCAGTCCTTGGCTACTGGACTGGCCATTGTCTCTGAAATGGTAGAATTAGAATGTGAAAGATATTCATGTAGTGCTGTGGACAATTAGGAGCATGATACACAAAAGAAAGAAGTAGTTTAAACAGTCAATATGGTGATGATAACGATGCCTTTGTTCCCTGTGACAAAGACCCTGCACTTTTCTCCCCAAAGCCCTCAAAGTTGTCCTGAGCCCAGGTCTACCTTCTAACATGCCCATGACAAGAAGAGCCACTGAGCAGGAAGAAATGGCCCATGGAAGGGCTGGCTTGCCCAGTGTCACACATGTGGCTGACCTGGAGGCAGACGTGGTATATATGCCTCACACCGCTCCAAGTTGGGCTTCTTGGCCTCAGGCATACCTCGTTTCTAGCGAACTTCCAAGGGTTTTGCCCATTCTGGGGACACACACAGTAGCTTCTCCGTGGAGAAACAGTTCTTTTCCCTTTAGTGGCTTTGCATGATCTGTGGTATTGAGTTGGGCATTCCAGTAGAGTAGATCATGCCACGTTGACTAAACACACAATCTTTATTCTTTCAGCAGGCACAACCTGCCGACACAAATTCAGCTTAGCTCTCCGAATTAGGAACCGCTTCCATAACCGCACATGCTAAAAGCAGTTACACAGCAATACAGACTTCAGTGTGTGATGCTAGAATGTGGTACAGTGTTAGGCTGTTGCGGTCAAAGTCGTAGCAATGTTAGAACTAAGGAATCCCTTACTAGGTGGACTAGAGTTGTGCTCTAAGCAGCCCGGCCCCGGGCTCCGAGCTCATTTCCACACGGCCCTGGCTTAATTTCTTCATCACCAACACCCATCACATATGGCTCCTCATCTGAGCCATTACTGCTCCCCAAAACACAGGCGGCAGTAGCAGCCATGCCTCCTCCTTAATACCTATACCCCACACCATTAGGATTTGGACCTCTCTTGACATGGAAATCTGCCTCCCAGGCTGGGGTGCTGTGTCCTCATGTAGATTCCGCAGTGTCCCCACCTACTGCAGACAGACCTGCCCAACAGCACTGGTCTCTTCAGGGGGTTGGGAGACCTGTCCGGCCCTGTCCCCACTGACTGTTTGCCACAGGCTGGGACAAAGAGGTTCTGGCTGGATGTCATGATGGGGTGGGGCTGGGGCTTGCATTCTCTGGGATTAGTTTAATGGGGCCACAACATTCCTCTTCCTGTCCCTCCAGTTTCTGTGTTGCATATTTGTGTTTAAATCTAAAGCCTATTAAAACGAACTTGAGGGACCTTCTGTGATATCCACTTGATGTAACTGGAGACCTGTCTCTCTCAGGCTGGGGATCCCAGGCAGGAGGCAAGGGAGGTGTTTCGCAGGTGGGGTTCCTTTTCTATGTGCGTGCCAGGGTCAGCAGAGTGTCATGAGAGAAATCTAGAGACTCCCCTGTCCCCAGACTCAGCAGGTCCCTGCATCCACTCTTCCAGTCCAGGGCCTTTGGCAGCCCATGCTGTGGACTTAGGGAGTTTCATGGTTCTGCTCTACCCAGATGGATTGAATCGGAATTGGCTAGAAAGAGGACACAAAAGATGGAGTGAAACCCCTCACCATTTATTTAAAATTCAGACCTGGATGAGGATGTTTCTACTCCAAAGAGAGCTCGAACTGCCTTACATTCTGTCCATTTGTATTTGTATCCCCTGTCTTGGGCCCTCCTGTTAGGTGTCTACACTGACAATGGGGGACAGGATGCTGGGAATCTTGGTGACTCTCTCTGTAACACCAAGTGCAACTGGGACATGTCCACTCATTCCAACCTAAAAGTTCTCCCTTCCTCCATCCTGCCACTTGGGGGTATGGCAGGTTTGGCCACCAGGCCTGACCCTGGAGTGTCCAGTTGGCAGCTCGGTTTGCCAGTTCCCTGTGGTGGTTTTAGAGCACGTGGGAGTGCCAGCTACTTTGGGGAGACCTCAGCAAGCCTGCCTCATGAACAAGTGTTGCACAACATTGTCAAACAGCACTGAAGAGTCCCAGTGTAAAGGACACATTTCAAGCCACTTCCTGTCCTCATGAGAAATACCTAAGGACCCCCCTCAGATCACCTGTGCTTCCCAGATCATCGATGGTGACCTCCTATGGATTAATGCTTTATTTGTCAACATGTCCCCACCTAGTTTCTTCTGGGGCAAGTTGGGTGCCTCACACTTTTACAGTAGCTGCCTACCATTGTCCTTGCCCCATCCCTGTGCAGTAAATGAAGCAGATGTCAGCAACTCCACTTAACAAAGGAGCCAAGTGGTGACTCATCCTTGGCATGGGCAGGAAATGAGATTAGCATGGACTCTGTCCTGTCTGCAGAGAAAACACTATCCCCTCCTGTGGCTGATGTAGAGCAGGCAGAGGAGACCCCTGAAATCAACCCAATATTTGTCACCTTCCTTGTACCAAGAAGCCTGGGAGAGTTTGGCTATCCTATATTAGAGTCTTGTATCATCTCAGAGCTGCTAGGGAGGAGTTAAATGCAGGAGGAACCCAGGAGTCGAATGGCTTCCCATCTGCAGGCACAGTTGAAGGTCATCTGCAAAGCTGGTGCTTCATCAGTGCATGGGCATCAAACATTGAATGACTTGTCCTCTCATTCATGGTGACTAGAAGGTGAGGATCCTGCTTGCTCCTGAGTCTGCATCATTTATTTAAACACACACACACACACACACACACACACACACTCACACATACCACTACCACCATGACCACTATCCATCACCAAACAGCACCACCACCACTAGCACCACCAACACCATCACCACCATCAACATCACCAACAGCACCACCACCATCACCACTATCCACCATACCATCATCACCAGCACCACCATCACCACCACCACCACCATCAGCAGCACTACCACTATCACCATGGCTACCACCACACCACCATTACCACCATTACCATCACAGCACCACCATCACTGAATAGTGGCAAGCCATTCTGGTTGTTAAGACAGGAAGAGTTAATTCACTTAAATTGCATTTGCCAAATATCTTTTAAAAAGCCAGTTTGCTTCTCTGAAACCTCTTGACCCAGACCTCATAAAAACAAAACAGTGATAGACACCTGGGGCTTCTGAATGCCAAGTTCTGTCATTCCCATCTCAGCATGGAGATGCCATCCATTTGCTTCCTCACTGTGTCTGGAAGTGTTTCCAGTGGGGTAGGAATGCTCTGTATCTCTGAACACCTGTGTGTGTGACCCCCTTCTTCCTCTTGGGCATGTATCACACAGACACCTGAGCAAGTCCTGTAACACAGCTGCTGTCTCTGCCTAGTGACTGCTTATTTTTCTGCACCCAAATGAATGTATCAGGGAGCAGTCTTTAGTTTCCCACCTCCCCCACCGTGCTAGTGGAAGAACACACTCTTATTGTGCAGAGTTTAAAAGCATTGCTGGCAGTTGCCCCCTACCCCGCAGCATGGTTCCTGCCCACTTCCCTACTCATCCTCAGTCCTCTGGGATTAGGGGTTTGGCCTTGCTGAGAGGCCAAGGAGTTTGCTGGGGCTGTTATTTCCAGTAGCAAAGACACTGTTTTATTCTGAAGATTTTTTTTTTCACATTGTATTTTTTTACAGCTATATGTATGGCTTGTAAAACTAAACAAATCCCTTTGGGGGGGCAGACATGCTTATCTACAGTTGGTTCCAATCCTCCCCTTTGCAGCCCCAGATTCTGCCCAGATCTGGGGTGACTGAAGGGTCTGAAAGGCTAGGGGAGTTCCCTGGGCTAGAGTTCCATAGGATTCCTGGTTACCTGGAATGCTGAGCTAATTTGGGGGACAGCTTTTGATTCACCAGAAGCATCTCACAATCGAACTGCATGAGGAAAGGTTTGCCTAGGTGAAGTTCCCTTGGTACTGCAGACTGGAATGGCTGCACAGGGTCTTATAGAGCCCTAGTCTAAGAAATTGCTGAAAAACTGAAGCATCTTTCCAGGCTGCCTTGCAGCACCCAGCAGCAACCACTAGGTGGCAGTGTGGCGCTGCAGGAACCAGGGTCCAGAGCTTGCCTTCTTACTAGACACAGACATCCAGGAACAAGGTGTGCCCGGAGCCTGTGCCCATTTCCCAATTCCAGGATGCATTGAGCACTCTGGGCTGCTTTGCTAAGACAGCGCACTTTGTAAGACCAGGGCTGCCTGTTGGTTCTCTCCTTCCTTTAAGTTGTGTCTAACAGTAATCACACTGGGGGTGGAAGCTACCCTGTCTTCCTGAGACACATGCACATCCTTGTTTTCACACTGCCCAAGCTTGGGTCTGATTCCCTGTGTGGCCAAGGAACCCAAAATGTGTGTGTAGTGCCCTGGCACGGATTTGCATCACACCGTCCTGATTGTAAACACGATGGGCACCAGAAAGAGCAGTTTGCTGTCCTTTCCTGTCCAGCCCCCTGCATGCCTGCTTCCAGTGCTATCCATCAGCTGAGCAAACGCAAAGGTTAAACCTTATCTTCCAGGCAACCGGTCTTCCAGTATGAATCACTGCACTCAATGTCTGGGAATTAAGACCCACATGGCTGAATTTGCCTTCTGTGCAAAAACAATGTGTCCTTTCTCCAGGGAGCTGGAAGAGTGGGATATCAATCATTAGAATAGCTACAAATCTGCCCCCAGCTCCTTTATGCCCTGCCTGCACCCCAATCCCCCTAACAAAATAGTGAGCATGTCAGCCAAGGTGTCAGTGGAAGGGCTCTTGCTGAGTCCCATGTCCTTCAGTATTTGTCCAATGGCTGGTGACCTCTGGAACCCCAAAGCCAAGCAGGTTTTGAGACGAGGCAGAAAGAAGACACTCACAAATGTGGGTCTGAGGGATTCCCTGGCTGAGGCTCAAGTGGTCGGGATAAGGATTCCCCCACTGGCTACAAGAAAACGAGGCCATATGATTAAAACCATTGGCTATGGGAAAGCAGGAAGACGCTGAAGGAGCTGAGATCTGTAACTTTCCACAGTGGGGCGCGCTTGGGAGGAACCCAGGCAAAAGCCACTAGAAGTCTTGAGATCACACAGTATACACGGAAGCCACAGACAGAATTTATTAGATTTTGCAGAAGCATGAGATAATGTACCACAAAATAGTTCGATTTTACAACATAAAGTATGGTAGGAAGTTGTCAATGTACAGTGTAGTCAGCAAAAAGAGAAACAGAGCAGTTTCACATTTTTTTTTTAAAGGTGATGGATGACACCTGCGCTTGTCCTTAAAATAAAATAAAATATAATAAGAAAACAGGAGGGGCCCAGCAGAGACCAACCTGATTTGCAGTTCGCATCAGAATCTAAATCTAGTTATCACCATTATAAGAAACTATAAGAAAACTATTAGAAAAATAGAACATCAAACGAGCAAAAAAATATCATACAATTTACATAATAAAAAACACACAACTCTTTTGTAATGGCTCCATATTCAGTAGAAGAAAAAAACTTCCTGGAGAAACCACAGCTATTCAGGTTTGATAATAAACCAACCCTCATTAGTATCATGACCCTTTTGTGATCCTTAAACCCACCGAAGCTGAAAGGCACAACGGGAGCAGGAAACATACCTTAAATATATATTATAACTTCTCAAATGGGAAAATAAGTCCCCAAACTGAAAAAGTTTGTCATCGAGAAACATGAAACCATATACCTTGTTAATCAATTAACAAAGTCTGAATGCATCTCCCCACCCCTGCTTCCTGACCCTGCTGGACACATTATCCCCTGAGAACATCCTCTTGGACAAGGTCTCTGTCTCACGTGGGTTTCTGGCCGGCAGGCAGTTCAACTGTTAACAGGACGATCCTGGAGGGCTCCTTGGGAACTGTGCCTAGAGCGCCTTGGTCTCACCAGGTCCCTCTGGGAAGAGAGCCTGTGGCTCAATGAAGCAATGGGCACCAAAAGGCTCTGGATTAAGAGTGACAAAGATGAAAGCCGGGTGACTTATTTTTGCCTTGAGAATCCATTAGGCACCATAACCACAATGTCACTTGGAGTGTAGCATCTGGCACCACCGCATCAATGAAGCATTTCATGATCCCTCAAAAGTCTGACAAATGTACTTCTCCCCTGGGAGCCTCACATAGAATACTCATGACCATGGCAAACAGACAGGGTTTGAATTTTACACAATTATACACAACATATACTCAGTTCCGTCTGAACTTGAACTCCGTAAGTTTTGCACATGCATCACACATCCTCTGCCCAAGTAATTCCCGTCCTGGGAGCACAGGAACCCACTAGAGGGTGGACCTGGACACACTCCTCCACCCGTCCATCAACACCGAGGACAGGCGCCCTGGCACTTGGGTGCCAACGGAACTTAACCGTCAGCTCCTATTAGCAAGAAAAAAGTGTCAGTGAACAGGGCACATTCAAATAAAAAAGGAGGGTCCCAGCGGGGAGCCAGGAACGCTCCTGCAGTGAGCCCAGTATGTCCAGCAATGCGTAAGAAAGGCTGGGTGGGGTCTGTGCAGGGCATGTCCACACATGGAACCCAGCCTCCTGTCCAGTACTCACAGCTGTCCAAGGCTCACCGTGCTGGGCAAGAGCCTACAGCTAATTCAGAATGCCTGCTCGGTGTCAGCGGGGAGCGGGGAGCAGGCCCCTCACAAGTCTCCCAGCATCCTGCATGAAGCACCCCAAAGTGCAGGGCGGCCCTGGGTCTCCTCCAGATGTGCACGCGGCCACACCAAAGGTGCAGGAGGGGGCGCTCCAAGGCCTTGGTCAGGAAGGATGGGTGTAGAATCCCAGAGACCCCTCGTCCTGCAGTCACTTCGGGCCACAGGCAGGGGAGTGACATGTGGGGCTAAACACTGCCTCAGCACTTGGAACTAGGTGGCTGATTGCCAGATAGAGATAAGGGATTCAATGGAGTTTTTTTTTGTTTGTTTGTTTTTTTGCCAAATGGGGGAAGATTTGAACAATTCTGAAAACAGTATGAATTTAACAGTTTTCTGAGATGGCCCAGGAAAGAGGAGTATACAGTTTTCCCTCTTGGATTGAAACCATGTGTCCAATGCACAAAAGTCCACCTGAGAGGCGTGGACGGGGATGATGGGAGTGCCACCCAGAAGGCAGCTCTCGTCCCAGCCTGTCACTGGGGTCCCCCGCTGCTGCTCAGGAGACATTCATCACCCCTATTCTTCAGCAGAGCTCCTGGGGGTTCCTACTATTGGCTTCTTCCTAAATTTGAGCCTGGCAAAGAGAAATTTGAGCCTGGCGAGAGAAAGGGTGCTTACTCATTGAAAATGAGTCTTTCTAATCTGAGTATCTGGGCCCGGTGCACAACAAGAGAAGACAGGGCATTCCACAGGATGTGTGCATCTTCAGAAGGTTTGCACATCCTGACTACGTAGGAAAATACCACCCAAGTCCTGAAACTGAGAATGATATTCTTATTTGCACAAGGGGTTAAGAGATGTGAAACTATTCTTTCTTTTTTTCTTTTCTTTGCCTGTGTGTTTTTATTTCCGGGGAAGGAATGAGGGATGTGGTAAGAAAAGGCTTATTAAAATTGAGAGGCTCACCCCAAATACCATTCCATGTATCACTGCCCCTATTACACAGAAAAGCCCCTTGACAAATGCACACAATCTTTAATAAAAGCAATGAACTCTTCATGCAAGTCACCTTATGTGTGCTTTCTGAAGAAGTTTTTCCTCTAACAAGGGAGGGTACAGGGGCACCATATCCCCCACCCCCGACCCCTGTGAGCTTCTGTGTTGCACAGTAAGCATTTGACTGAGGAAAGGAGGGCAGATCTGTGGCTGTCAGCATGTTCCGTGATGGGAGACTGTCTGACTGTGGTCAAACCCCCAAACACCCCTTCCCACCGTGCAGATTGATGACGATACAGGCCGACACATCAACTTGTAAACAGACCATCAAGCGCTGCTTGCACAAAGATTTCAGCCAGAAAGGAAGTTAAAGAAACAGAATGCTCTCTCCCTCCCACCTCATTGTTCACCCTCCTTCCTCCAAGTTCTCTTTGCCTATACAGAAAAAATAACAGGAAAAAAAAAAATCAGGCAAACAAACCTAATAGGTCATAAGAAGACAACAGACAACTAAAACCCCCAACAAAATAAGTTAATGTTTATGAAAATATTTTACAGCACCAATCTACATAAATTTAAATACCTTTCTTTGGAAACCCAACCCTTGGGGTCTTAGGATACTCCCTCTGGGACATTCACAGATGCAACTTGGAATAAAGCTTCCAGCAAGTGGTCAGAACTGGGCATAATTCCCTAGCTCTTGGCCATGGGCCACCCTTCATTGGCTGACCTGGTCTTTTAGCTGCTTTATTTTTATTTTGTGGTGCTGGGGATCAAACCCAGGGCCTCGCACATGCTAGGCAAGAGCTCCGCCACTGAGCCACAGCCCCAGGCCAGTTTCACTAACGCTTACATCTCTCTAAGAACCTCCTGGAACAGAGGGGAAAAGACAAGAGCCATCAGTCAATCAAGTTTCTTCCCACCAGATTTGCATCAATGGCCAGGCAGGAAAGAAACAGGAATCTAAGCTTTAAAAGCAGCAGCTACTTCTCTGTGGTGTCTAAAATGCGGCTCTCTCTCACCCTCCCTGTGGGCTCCGGTGGTACTTTAAATGGAAGTGAGGCTCCATCAGCATTCCCCTTCCCTGGGCTTCCATCTACAAGGAGTGTGTGAAATGGTGTTGGTCCTAGGTCCCACCCCAGCTACAGAAGGAGGGGACAGAGTGCAGGGTGTAGACAGGAGTCACAGAAGGACACTGAGGTCTCCGCTGGACCTCAATGGTATGGAAAGCCGCAGCATCTGGACCACAGATACACAAGAGCAACAGGACTCCAAGTTGCCTCCTTGTGGACCACACACCCCGACCCACAGGCCAGCGGCTCGCAGTCATTGTTTGGTCATTTTCCAAGTTAATGTTAAGCCCCAACTTAATCTGGTGGAGTGATTCACAACTAACAGGAGGATTCAATTTCCTTATACATCAGAAGCCAAACAGACCATGTCAGGGGGCAGAAGTGTCACAACCGCAGACCGAGCTGCCACCTGTTTTGAGAACCTTATAAGATCCAAAAGACTGGTGCGCAAGCCACCAGAGGGCAAGACTTAGTGAATGGAAAAGACCCCAGAGTGTGAAACTCTTCTGGGGCCAGTCCTACACAAACACAGTGTTCCAGTTACTCAGGACACATGGCCAGCAGCGACAGACACCAGAGCAGCAGGAACTCTTCCTGACCTCCAGGAACGGGACTGGAGAAGGTCCCCTGGTCTATGGGCATGCACGAGACAGCCAGCCCTCCCCTGACCTCAAGGCCTTTGTTCGCACCAGAAGCCTCTCGTCTTCTGTGCCTAGGATGAACCGCCTGCCCTCGGTCCTGCTCCCCCGCGGTGGGCTGGGTCTGTGACGGTGTCAGAGCCAACCTGCTCAGAGGGCACTGTGGGGAGAGGCCCAGTCCTAACACCCCATCTGGAAGCAACTCAGAGGGCAGGAGCAAGGGAAGTCTAACAGCCCTGTTATTCTTCTAGTGAATTGCTGTCACTTGGCTCTGGGGTGGCACTGCTGGGGACACACTGTTTTGTGGTACTCATCTTGCATCTATGGCCGGCTGTTTGGGGCTGAGGGGGGAAATGGCTACTGGAGGTCTAGAGTATGTATGCTTGCAATACCAGAGCAGTCCCCAGGGAGGGAGACCAGGTGACCTCCCCTCTGCCGGGAGCCATAGCAGCACAGCCGGCTGGCGAGGAGAGGGGCTGTTTTCTTTGTTCAGAGGGAAGTAAGGAGATATATGGCCAGCCACAGCCAGGTGGCCCTGGCCAGGGAGCTGTCTGGAGGAGGCCGGGGCCTCAGGCGCTGGCTGCGGCTGCAATACGGTTAGTTGCACCTTTGGTGGCACTGGGGGTGTCGCGGACGAGGGTGGTTCCTATTATACTGGTGGAGAGTGAGGTGCTGCCCAGTCCTCTGCAGACATCCCTCGGGGCTGCCACAGCTCTGGCCAGCGAGGCTGCATGTCACTTGCACTGGTTCAAATTGCCGTCGGGAGTCTTTGCCTGGTCAGTGCCCAGGGACGCCTCCTCGCTGTGCCACAGCCCATAGCCGAAGTAGATGACGAAGCCTGTGGGCCAAAAGCAGAGCAGAGGCGTGAGCAGGGTGGGTGGGGCTACCCAGCACACGCGGGGGCTCAGGTGCAGAGGGCCGCCCGGGCGCGGACTTCTCCATCTGCACAAACTGGGCACGTATATAAGGTCAGCCAAGGTCATCGACTTACTTCTCCTATGCAAAGCTACCCACATCCTTCCAGGCGTCCTCACACTGCCCCTTCCTGAGCAGCTGGGGGTAAGGCCAGGGAGAGCCTCAGGGCCCCAGCTTAACCCCTACTGCTCCTGACGAAGGTGGGATTTGGGGCAGGTTCTTGGCTTTCTGCCTAGTCCCACTGCAGGTGAGGGAACCTACTCAACCTGAAAAGCCAGCATCCGTGACTCCAAAGGTGTTAGTGGGGCCTGCAGCCTAAGCTTCTAACCCCTCGCCCAGGGACTGGCCAGCGGCCCCAGGGCCACCTTGTGCTGTTGACACATGGGAAGAAGCTCAGGAAATGACCTCACAGGGACTTCTACGGGGGTGGTGGGAAGAGGTGCTCCTCACCACCACCAGCAAATGGGCAAAAAGCAGCTGTTTTAACGAGTGCTATAGAGTCTAATCTCACAGGCGAGACTGCAGAGGAGGACCTGTCCCTTCACCTAAAGAGGAGTATATGTCCTTGAGAAAAAGTGCCGCTGGGGACCCTGGGACACCAAGAGGTAGCAGCCATCTTGCTATAGCACCTGAACCCAGGGCTGACAGTCTTGTCAAGGACACAGCCCTCAGGGCAAAGGTCAAGGAGGGGCTCCTGGGCATCAGTGTGAGGACTCAGACACTGAGAGGATGGACCCAGGTAGAGCCCCTCCAGGACCAGGGGTCAGAGGCCCACAGGGACCGGGACACAGCCCTAGAGAGGGTTCACTGACACCCAGGCAGCAGACCCCCAGACCAGGCACCCCTGGTCGTCACATGTCAGGAACAAGAGAATGAGTCCTGTCAAGAGCCTCCCGGCCCTGGCAGTACCTTCCCCGGGCTCTGAAGTGCTGTCCTTCTGTGAGGAAGACACTATCATCAGTCGGTGATCCCATGCCTGCCAGGGTCTACAGTCCCACACAGACCCGGTGCGGGCCAGGCTGCAGAAGGCCCAGTCCAGATTCTTCCGAATGGAGTAACAGGTATCTTATCACCAATACTCCGAGCCTGGTACTTAGTAACATCCAGCCCCAGACTAACAAGGTAACCAGCTTGGGCAATAGATTCTTATCTTGAAAAGTATCTAAAAGGGAGGGGAGAACCTACAACCTACCAGGGGGGCCTAACATTGTTTTAGAAAAAACAGTTGATGACGTGTTTCCTTGTGTTATGAAATCTGGAACGAAGGAGGGTCTATGACATTAACCTCCCAGCCAAATAGCAGGCAAGACAAATGAGCAGCCCTCATAGGCCTGAGGGCAGGGGGAGGCCCCAGGAGAAGGTGGAAAAACCCCTGACCTAACATACCTATGAGCATCCACACAGCAAACCGGACCCACGTGCCCTGGTCCAGCTGCATCATGAGATAGATATTCACAAAAATGCTCAGGACAGGAAGCACCGGCAAGAAGGGGACCTGCAGAGACAAAAGGCGGTGTCAGATCACAGAGGATGGCGACTGCAATGCACATCCCCACACCTCCAGTTCACACGGACACGCCCACCGGCAAATCCCAGTAGGTGGAATTGGATTCCAAGCCACTAATTGCCAAAGTGAACTTCTTTCTAATTTTCCTCTCATTATTCTCCACTTCATCTCTAAGGTAAAACTATTTTATGATTCGTATAATCTAAAAATGTAGAAGCTTGGAAATGACATGTAATCCACTGAGACAGACATTTACAGTAAGTCCCCGTGGACGAGGTGCACCCCATCACCCGAGAGTCACGGCTTTACTCAGCAGACACCCCCTGTGTCCTAAGGATCCCTGCCCCATTTCCCAAGGGCAGCTGGCCTGAGCACCTCTGGAGCACCAAGGTCTGGAACAGCCCCCCAGCAGGACCAGGTCTCAGATCTACCAGGAGATTCCCCACAGGTCTATTAAGCTGAGGTGCTCACCTTGAACGAGAGCTTGGTTTTGCTTTCGGACTGCCTCCAGATGATGCCCGTGACCAGTGCACAGAGGAGGATAGATCCCGTGACCAGAAAGATTGCCCACAGCTCCCCATTGCCCAGAGCCTCTCTTCCAAGCACGGCCACCAGGCACAATATGATGATAAGAATTGCTGAGAGGGAGAGAAAAAAAAGAGGGGTACAGCTCAACCAGTTCTCAAGTTCCTACAGGTACCCTCCGTTCTCCCCAAAAACCTGTCCAGAGGGAACTTCATTTCTGTGGAATCAATTACAATTTGGACAGAAAAATTTATGTCACAGTCTGTTAGCAAACCAGATATTCATCTTCTCCAGCAACGTCCCCCCCCACCCCATCCCCATTGACAAGAAACCCTACAGTGCCAACAAGCAAGTCCCCACACCCCTTACAGGGAAGAGGCAAGCTCTTACCTATGAGGCTGGCTGAAATGTTCACAACTAGCCCAGACAACTTGGAAGGCTCCATGTTTTTGGGTGACAGTATAGCTTTCAAAGAAAACTTCTCTGCTTCTGGTAAAAAGCCTGTCTGGGAATCACTGGTGCTCACCAGTTCATTCTGGTCGACTTGATCTAGCTCATCACTGGTTCTGGCCATCTGGTACACCAGGTTCGGCTGTTCTGGCTGATATCTGGAAAGAGATGCATGGGGCATGACCACTGTAATCTGCTTTCATTAAGGGAAGAAGCACACAACTGAAGTTCTCAGCAAGCCTTCAAAGATAAATTGCCCAAGACACAAGGCATGAAATAGGACAGAGAGGGTCAGAATGGTATAGAGACTGGGAAGAGACCTGGGTACTTCTTCCAGCTTCTCGGTAACACCCTCAATGTCTGTTTTGGGGGAATATGACCTCCACTGTAAGGCAACTCAGTCAATGTCCCAAGAGTTTCTCTACGAATGTGAAGAAGGGACCCTTGAATGTTAAGATATTAGGCCACTTCCCTCAAAACCATGTTTGCAGAGAGCTAAGAGTAAGGACAGAAATAGAAAGCAATAACACTAGAATCCTGTTTGGTGCAGAGAGCCAGAGAATCCTGTCTGCAGGCTGATGGATTTGAGAAATTCTGTTTGCGTGACCTAATTGGATCAATTTATTCTAAAACTCCAAGAGCCTTGGAGTAAATAACTCTATAGAGCTGGGTGAAGGACCGAGCCTGAGGCATGATTTCCAGGACAGGAGCTACCTGCAAGAAAAGCTTCCATTTTAAACGTGGTTCCTTATCTTTGCCCAAAATGAACAAAGTGCAACTCTCTTCCACAGCTTCGAAAAACAGAATGCCTTTTAAATTCTTTTGCATATTATCAATTCTAAGAGTGAGCAATAAAGATAGCTAACTGTTTTTGCACGGAGTCTCTGTGTAACATGACCTTGGTCAATTAAGAAAGTGGAGGAAACTTTGAGAACATTCTAGCATTGTGCCAAGGGAAGGAAGGAATAAAAGGCATGTAGAATAGTTTTAGCTGATTCTACAAAGCCACCACTGAGGCTCAGCTCAGGTCCTATGTAGATTAGGTGCTGAGTACATCAGAAATGGGACCAACGGCCTCACGAGTATAAATACCTGAAAAGAAATGAGGACGTTCTTGCAGGGTGACCAACACTAGAGTCTCCATGAGCACATGGTCTCATGACAAGTGCCACCTTGGGCCATCCCTGGGGTGGAGCCCTGTCTCCCCACAGTAAAAGGAAAACTGAAGCCTAGAGCTGTGCTTTGGGAGGAGGTACTGGGGTGGGTGAGAACACCAAGCCCTGATCTTGGGCCCAGGAGCCACTTCACTGTGACTGTCCTCAAGATGGAAACAGCCAGACCCTGGAACATGTCCCTGAAAATCAACCGAGGCTACCCACACCAAGCAAGGGGATTCATTTTCCCAGTCACAGTGCAACCAGGCTCCAGGAGCATCACACAGTTCCTTGGATCCTCCCAGTGCCCTCCAGGGCCAGGGCCCAGTCCCCTCTATCCCAAGAATTTGGACAGTTTTAGTCATTACCCTAAACCTTCAAAAATCTTAATCCCAGGATCCAGACCCAACAGTGGAGCTGAGAACCATCTGTATCTTCCTAACTTCTACCCAGAAAAAATGAGGGCACATGATTCAGGAAGGTTGGGGCCACCCTGACTCTTTTCAAGTGTTTCCAACTGCCACACCATACACTGTCCTTGGCAACTTCCAAAGGAGCTGTCACCAACCTAAAAGTTATGCCACATTTTTTATTTTATTTTATATTTTTTAGGAGAGAAAGTGAGAGAGAGAAGAGAGAGAGAGAGAATTTTCTAATATTTATTTTTCAGTTTTTGGAGGACACAACATCTTTATTTTATTTTTCTGTGGTGCTGAGGATCGAACCCAGCGCCGCGTGCATGCCAGGCGAGCGTTACCGCTTGAGCCATATCCCTAGCCCAACACATTTTTTTTTTCATATTTTATTTTAAGACAGGGTCTTGCTGAGTTGCTAGGTGCCTGGCTAAGTTGCTGAGGCTGGCTTTGAACTCTCAATCCTCCTGCCTCAGCCTCCTGAGCCGTTGGGATTATAGGCATGTGCCACCATGCCCATCCACATAAGCCTTTTATTAGGATGTTAAATGGCTACATGCACCTACCTTTGTCATGGAGCCCAGAAATGCCATACGTACCGTAAGACTAAAACACAGGCAGCCACCAGAGAGTACGCCAGGAGCGTGCCAATGGACATGAGGTCCACCAAGTCCTTCAGGTCAAAGAGAAAGGCCATCACAGCTGGGGAGAAGACAGACATCAGGATCCACAGATGGTCCTCTGCAGAGGTCAACACCGGGACCACCACCCACCACCTGTGGTCTAGGGCACACGAGGGGCACTGCTTTTACTCCCAGCCCCAATCCCAGCCTTTCCATGGAAAGATACTGCTTCAAGGGAAGACAATGTTCAGGATTAAAACATAGACGCGGTTTTCAACAGATGGTAGCCATAATTAACAGTAATAACTAACATTTGTATAAAGAGGACTTTTATCCTTTTTGATCCCCATTGATAAACTTCACAAGCCATCCCTACATACAGATGGAGAAACAGAAGTTTAGGGTTTAGGAGACTTATCTAAGGTTACACAGCTAGTGAACGGAAGTGCTGGAATCTGAAGTAGGTTCCTGTGACTGAGTCCTCTACACTCAACTGACTCACAGACAGTCATGTCAGTCCATCCATCTATCCATCCATCAATTATCCATCCACCTGCCATCCACCCAATCAGTCATCCACCCATCCATCCACTGTCCATCCAACACTCATCCATCATTCTTCTATCCATCTATCATCCACTCATCTGTCCTCCATCCAGCACTGTGACGGTCACTGGGTGCTAGATATACACCACCAAACTGGCCGATGGCAACAGGGATAGGAGGCAGCAGAGGCCAGTCTGGTGCTCTGGGAAGCCTCACGGGGCTCCTAACCAGGCAGGTGAGCAGGGAAAGTGGAGCTATTCTTCACGTGTTAAATCGCTCCACATGGGAGAAACTTGGAAGAGTTTTTTCCAAATGATATCAGCCCCATCATCATATCCCCCCGCCCCCGGCCTCAAAAAGAATTAAACGTGCATGCTTGAACTAGGCCTGTAGCTCCGAGGTAGAGCACTCGCCTGGCATGCACAAAGCCCTGGGTTTGATCCCCAGCATTGCAAAATAAAATTTAAAAAAATTTTTTTAAAGTGTGGGTTTTGAAAATTTATAATTTCTGCAAGATGTGTGTCTATTTATGTCAGGGTCCATGTCAAGTTTCCCATTTTAAAAAGGAACTTGGCAAGACCTGCTTTGGGATATTTTCAGATCACATGTAATCAATACAAGTTAAAAAACATAAACATGAAAACATTATTCTCCACAAATATTTCTGGAGCCCCACTAGATCACTGCACACCACACAAATTTAAATTGAGGATAAAAAATAGGATTAAAGAGCAATGAAGGCCTTCTGGATAATTAGAACAGTATCCAACTGTGCATGCCAAAGATGCCTATGTTCCTACTCATAGAGAAACCCGAGACAAATTTCTTCCATGTGAGGTGATTTCAGAAAACCAAATACTTATCACTCTTGCCAAATGAAGAGAAAGCAAATCCCTGGCCTGGTGAGTGGTATGTGCTTTATAACTACTTAACAGATTACAGTTTGATCTCCTTTTATTGGCACGGGGAGGAAATTAAGGCTTGTCTTTTGTATGATCAACTCACATGTAAACACTGAAAAAAATTACTATTTCCAATTCCTTAGTCCTTCAGATGTACTGGTCATGTTCTGATATATAGCCCCCTTTGACCTGACCACCTGGATCACTTGCAAGAGTGTAAATTACATTTAAAAAAAAAAAAAAATTGAAAAATTTAAAAATTGCTTTCTTCTTTTATATCTATCTACCCACAGAACTAAGCATGCTCTGCTAGGGCCTAAGTAACATAACTTAGTAAATAATTCATGCATTGAAGACGGTCAAGTGTCTTGCCAGTGGCCATTCCACAAATCACAGAGGTACCAATCCTGACTGGTGTGTGACTGTCATGTGTCCCGATTTATCAGAAAGAACCACAGCTCTAGGTGGCCTGGCTGCTTTGAACATAAAACCAGGAATCAAGGATCACCTCTGCCCTTCTTGGGTATGCATCTTCCCTCCATCTCTCTGGGCCTCCATTTGTACATCTGTACAATGGGATGGAACCTGACTCTCAGTGCTCATGCAATCATGAAAAAAATCAAGAAAGAAGGAAACTACGAACACATTAATGGAGCAGAGTGCATGAAAGCAACCTCTCACTTCCCCTTTCCTTCACTGGGGTCCCTGGAACGTGACACAGTTCAGAGAGCTCCTTATTCCACTGATTTCATCCGTCAAAACTGACCTCTCAGAGATGGACCTGATTTGATAAGAGAACCCTCCTCTGGGTCTGCCATTGTTTATAAACTTAGAAGCAAAAGGCTTCATCAGTAACACTCTCAATATCCTCCAGGGAATTGGTGGCACGTTGTATTAAACACCAACTTTTAGGGACACTCATTTTCCAGAGAATCTATGGGTGAAGATTCAAAGACACTGGATTTCCAAGGAATAACCCAGTGTCTCACTTGGCTTGTCTCATGCTAGTTGCCAGCCTGCTGAAGTCTACCAAGGGACACGTTCAAGGTGGGAAAGCCAAAGGTTGTCCTTGGAGAGGGTAAGGAGAGCTCACACTGTCTGGGAATTCCATCATGCCCTCTGGCCTCTCTGCCTTCTGTCCAAGAAGGGGCAGTTATCTTTCAATGAACCAGTTCAAAGTGCAAAACCCAAGAGTTAAAAAGGCCAGTGAAGATTTCTCAGACAGGTGTGATTGATTGGTGCCTTCCCAGCCTCCCTGGGGAGTGAGAACTCAATTATTAAGACGCTAGCATGTGAAGTGAGTTCCCGAGCTTACCAGCAATGGCACCTGATGTCAGTGTGGCGATTATAGGGGTTTTGGTCCTATCATTGATTTTGGCCAAAAATTTAAACAGCAGTCCATCCTCAGCCATGGCGTAGATAACTCGTGGCATGGGAAACATGGAACCTAGAAGACTAGGCAGAGGAAACAGCAAAACACGTGAGTAAAACAAAATGCGCTCATCAGGAACAAAGGCGCCATATGCTACCGTGCACAATTTACCACCGAGGAGAGGAGGGAAGCCGGTATTTCTCACCAAGACCTGGCTTCCCTCCAAACTGTGCAAAGCCCACCTCAACCCCAGGAAAAGCACATACTGCAAGAGAGGGCTAGGGTAAAGAATGCAGAACGTCTAGTGTAAACTAACTTGTGATCCAGACGTAATCATTAGGAAAGGGAAGTTTTGTATTTATTCATACAATTATTTCTAGTTGAATCAAACAAAATAAAAGCAATCACGCATTCATGAGGATTTCTCTCTGGCAAATCAATATTTAGCAAATAGATCCTGTTTACGCAGGCTGGCAGGAAATACCCAGGGCAAAATGTTTCTCATTACAAGGCCCTTACTCCTTTTTTTCCAAAGTAGTTCCTGCTTTCTAGTCAAACTAAGGGCCAAAGGGGGGCAAAAGAGAGCCCTGTCCAGAGGCCAAAGTTAGGATCAGGGTGTAAGCCCCTGTTAACCAGATCACATCCAAACATTGGCCTCAGGCTCTTCAGGATGAAGACCCAGTTCTCTCCCCTGGTCCCTGGTCTTGCTATCTGTGGTTACAGTTACCCATGGTCAACCACAATCCCAAAGTATTACATGAGAAATTCCAGAAATAAACCATTAACAAATGCTGAATAATTTGTATTGCATTATATTCTTATAATTGTTTTACTTAATTATTAGCCAGTGTTGTTAATCTCTTACTGAGCCTAAATCATAAATTAAACTTAATCACAGGTACATATGCATTGGAAACAATGTCATACATGTATGCATTCAATACTGTCTGTGGTTTCAGGTATCTCCTAGGAGTCTTGGAGCTATCTCCCCATGGATAAGAAGGCATGACTGTATCAATAACACAGCAACTTTGGGGATGATTAAAAGCAATGGCGAAGAAAAAAAAAATACACAGTCCAGGTTGGGGTGCTGGCTTGAGTTCAAGAGAAAGGAGGGTTTTTAGTGGTGAATCCACCCGTCATGGCTTCTCATGGTTTTTACAGCCTTCTCCCTTCCCCAGAGTGCCAGGCTCCCATGAGAAGCATCCACAGAAGCCCCTCTCACCTGGTGGAAAGTGCGCAGAGCGAGCCCACAGCCACTGCATACTTGGCGCCCTCCCAGCCCACGTGCTTGAAGGCATCAGGCAGGGGGCTGTCTATGTCCAGGCAGAAATAGGGCATCATGAGCGTGAGGGCGGCGGACACCCCGAAGTATGCAATGAAGCAAATCAGGAGGGAGGCCACGATGCCCACAGGGATTGCCTTCTGGGGGTTCTTGACTTCTTCACCTGGAATCAGCAAGGACTCAGCCAAGGAGGGTCAACAGCACGAGGCAGCCCAACCACCCACATGACACCCAGGACCCCTCAGTGTCAGGGAACCCATGCAATACCAAGAACAGCCCCCTACGGTGCTCAGCCCCACAGAATGGGCCCTCCTTGCTTCCTACTGTGGAGGGGCAGCCCTGGGTGACACACACAGGACGGCCCACAGCCTAGGGTCGGTGCTCTGTGCCCTTGTGCTGTGGTCGGCTAAGGCAGACACCTGTTTCCTTTGGCTGAGAAAACGTGAAAGGCTCCAGGGAGCGGGGCCTATTCAGTCCACCAGGATGACACTGTTTCTAATGGCCTCGTTTCTCCCAGATGATGCAGATATGAAACCAGGCTGCAGCCAGGCCGTCGTCCTCCCCTGCTAACCAGCTCTGTCAGTTATGTTCATGAGGCAGTTTCCTGGCAGGAACTGCCACTCAAGGAAGTGATAAAGGGGGTGGGGGGACATCAGCAGGAATCACAGATCTGTGCGTTACTAGTGGGCAAAAGAGCAGCAATCAGAAAGTGCCAGCAGGAAGGGAGGTGTCACATCGTGTTGGCCACGGGTGGCATGAGTCCCGCCTGCCTGCTGGGGGATCCCGGTGGGGGCGTACCTGTGGTGGCGATGCAGTCAAAGCCCACGAAGGCGTAGAAGCAGGTCGCTGCCCCTGACAGGACACCGGAGAATCCGAAGGGCATGAATCCACCCATGTCGACTTTCCCTTCTTTTGTGTCACTAGAAAAAGAGTCAAAGATTAGGACATCTGTGGTGCAGTCTGGTACAAGGAGTGGAGTGTATCTCCTAAAGAAAACGTGACCACAGACTGTCCCCCCACCACCCTGTTAGACCCAGGGCTTCAGACCCTTAGGCCACCATCCTTAGGCTGGGGCATTTTAACTCTGTGGATAGCAGGACTCTGTCTTTCCGAGTCCAGAGCCACAATGGTATACACTATCTACCCTTCCAGAAGCATTTTTTATGTACTGACTTTGGGAGAGACAGGCAGGGAGTCCAACAGGAAACAGGAAGACTCTAGCCACTGCGGCTGGTCCCATGCCCTCCTCCCCAGACCCTCAGGGAAAGACATGAGCAGCCAGTCAACTGCACTGTCCCTGTCCCAGGTCCCCTATTTATCAGTACTCTCAAAACAGATATTTTCCTGGAGACTAAGGTTAAAAAAAGTGAATTGTCCCTGTCAACCCTAGCATTTCTGAGGTGCCCCTATCCACCAGGTCGTGAGCTGCTGACATGCCCTGAATAAAAATGAAGGATGTCACCCTTGATGGTTCCTTTAAACAACCGGGGTGGGGGTGGGGGCACCAGGAAGGCTGAGGACTCCATGCCAAGGAGGAGGAGAGCACAGGGAGCTGCATCATTACTAAACCCCAGAGAGACGGGCAAATAGAAGGGCAAGGAGTGGCTGAATGCGCTTTCGTCATCCAGACAGATAACAAAAAAAGTGTGGGAGAGAGGGAAGGAAAGGGCTCTGGGTGATGCATGGAGGGAGGAGGCAAAGGAAAAGATAGCTACTGGTTCCCAGGACTGTGTTGGGGGGCACCAGATGACCCCTGAAGCTGAGGGACAGAGGGCCAGGTGGACTCCTGGAGCCGTGAGCAGAGGTGAACCACGGCAGCTGTGGCCCCCGCTGCACCTGCTCCTCAAACCCCACCTGACACTAGCGAGGCCAGATGTCGGGACACCATCAGCTACAAACAGGAGCAAGGTCCTGCCATTCAAAGATCTGCAGGGGACGGTGGCAAGTAAAACCGACCATGCGCAAAACAACAGAGGAGAAAGGGAAGGAATAGGACGCACACTCTTGCACTCGATCATGTTTGTGAAAAGAAAAGCCAGAAGCTTACACACAAAAAATAACACAAATGACTCCCCACTGGGGGTGGGCAGGAGAATGAGGCAGATGAAGAAAGAAACGGGAACAAGATTTTTCAATGGAAATCTTAACATTAGGATATATGAACCATGTGATTATTTTACTCCAAAAGTTAAACTCAGCTTTTAAGTTTGGGTGTTCTGGTCCCAGAGGCACAGCAGGGATGGAAACATAAGCACAGAACCCGCTCCACGGCGCCTCAAGCCACAGCGTTTACAAGCATTTTTAGAGCCTCCTCACATACCATCAATTATTAAACTGGCACATGCACGTGGGGCGCGGGTCCATGCGTCACTGGCACTGCCACCGTGGGTAAACAGGCTCATAGGGATGTGAGATACTGCCACCACTGCCACCTAACCAATGGCAGCTGGTGACAAAGAGAAGCTACACCCAGGCCTCAGTGCAGCGTCTGTCCCTGGCAGTCTGGGTGACCAGCCTTTCTGCATTCCACTCAACGGGTTACTGAGACATTAGAAGGAAGACAGCTGACAACGTACGGGTCTGTGCCACTAGGTATCACCCTCCGGTATCCTAACATCTCCCTACCACCCTGACATAACTGTTGGCTGTCCCTGACAGGGACATCTCCCACTTCTTCTACCTTATTTTAGTGGGCCGCATGGCCACTCGGAATCGAGACTGTGCACGTCTCAGATCCTCCAGCTGTAGGTGCAGGCACATGACTATGTTCAAGGACATCAAAGCAGACATGGTGTGCACATCTTCTGAGAAATGCCCCAGATTAGGGCGGGGAGGGAGGGTGCTCTTCTCCTTTTCCTTTCTCCTTCCTGCTGGATGGAGTGGGAAGAGCCATTGTGGGCTCTGGGGTGGTCTTGGAAATGTGGGTCATGGACAAAGCGATGAAATGGAAGAAGTGGATTCCTCATCCAAGGAATGGAAGATGTTGGACTGACCATGTCCACATGTTGACTGCAGAAAGCTACGTCTATCTCAGGAAGTCCGTGTGATTTTTCCACCGTAACAGACATCACCCAACAAAACCTCAACAGACTGCCATGTGACCTGGATGAGTTTCTGTTACTTCATGTGTTAGCCATTTCCAGGACATTGGGTAAAGCCAGAGTGGTGGCAAGGAGCTATCCAGACAGAGGGTGTCACTCCTGTCCCAGACCCAGAGACAAAACAACTTAGGCTGGAAGGCTTCCCTACCAGTCACAGAAAGAAAAGTCATCAGAAAATCCTCCCAACCTCGCACTCTAAAGCTCCCGTGTCATCATTTGGTTGGGAAAAGCCCCGTTATTTCAGTGGGACAAGCAATTTCATGCAAGACTTCATGGCCATTGTCATAGACACAAATCTGCAGCTGGAGATTTTAATAAAACGAAAGAACCAGCTCTTCTGCCAGCCTACAGAATCCACTTCTTAAAGTGGCTGGTCCCTTGCCACCCCAACAGCAGTGTCCCAGGTCTACAGTTGGAACTGAGGAGCACCACCCGTGACCAGGAGGTCAGGGCAACAAACACTTCTCTGTCTGGAAGACCAGCGCAGTTCATCATCTCCAGGGCAACCAGAGAAGGATGACCCATGAAAGTGACACCGTGGCTGACACAATCAATCTCTTGATAGAAATAATAAAATTAAATTTTGACTAGCAACCAAGAAACAAGAAGAGCCCTCTGTATTTCATTCCTGACCTGAAAACAGGAACCAGCAAAATATGCTCTCAAAGTTTTCAAAGTCTACTATGATAGTACTTCAAAGCATATTTTGAATTGGCTTTACTCCACCCTGAATTAATAAATTTGGTATAAACATGGCTCTGGAATGCTGGGGAATGATATGGTAAAAATCCTTATTTCTCTGTCATAGTGTTTGGAAAGGGAAGGCTGATTTTTATTGGAACTGATAACCACATAATAGCAGCATTAGTGACGTTTCATGCATCTCATTCAATACCTCCCTGTTCACATTCCAGTAGTCACACATCACACTCTTGCTGATCATACCCCTGGCCCTTAACCAATGACCAACTTGGTTTGTGTTAATGCCGAGGTCCCTGGTGGGACACAGTGTTCCTCTGCCTTTCTTATAGCTAGATGTGGCCACCCACTAGGTCCTGCCAAAGGAATGCAGACACAGCGACATGTGTCTTCTGGGTCCATCTTCAGAAGCCCTAGGCACACTCTCCCCAATCTTCTCCTTTCTAGAAAAGCGGGCTCATGCTTGTGCCCATAGCGTTGCACTGACCAGGCAGGGGAGGACAACAAAAGAAATCACTAGGGATGACAGATGGGACAGAAGTCTGGGCTTCCAAACTGACCAGCCACTGCAGGAATGCTCACAAAAGGACCTGGCACATCAATGTAATGACGGAAAGCTACTGCATATGAGGAAGGTCTCCACCATATAGCAGTTGAACCATTAGCCTCAATGAAAATAATCACAGATAAAACCAAACTCTTCTCCATCCTGGGAGACTAAGATTCACCTGAAAATCTAACAGAGGATGAAAAAGATACATTGATTGTTTGCCTTTGTTTCCTAAATAAGAGCTGTTTGGGGAGGGCTTCCTGGGTGGAAGCCAGCTCTCCACCCACCTTCAGCTCTGGGTATCCAGAATGACAAACATCAGGGTGCTGGGGCCCTCCTGTGTCAGGGCTCGGCAGCTCAAGACAGATGTGAAAGAAAGATCCCCTGATCAAAGTTCCACATTGATAATATCATAGGAAGGTGTTTCGAAATAAAGTGGCATCACCAAGGAACCGCAGAGAAAATCTTTTGAATATGAAAATTCACAGGTTAGTCTTGTCAGCAAAAATAAGGAAAAAGATTAAAGAGTCTCACAACCACCCTGGACCACATAAATTTCAAGTTCCTCGTCAGGCAATGTTCTGTCCAGGGAATAAACCTTAGCAGAAACTCCAAACATACCCAACACCCTCAGCTCCTTCACTGTAAAAAACAGCAAAGCAAAACACCTTAACAAATTCAGATGATATTAGTTTTGAAAGGCAAATATTATCTTAATCAATTACATCCCCAAATATGTGTGTGTGTGTGGTGTTAAATACCAAATATGGAGAACTGTCACCTGCCAAGAGACGGGAGAAATGACTCACTTGTTGTGATGGGGATTGCAGGATGAATTCCGGATATCCTCCGGTGTCAGTTGCCAGTTTTGGATGGATCCTTTCACAAATCCTGACACCACTATGAAGCCCAGGACCAGAACATTGATACAAGTGAAAATTTTGTTGACCATGGCTGACTCCTTCACCCCAAGAGTTAAGAGTCCTGAAAAAGGGGAAAGAGACAACTCTTGAGTGTGTTAACCACACACTGGGTTAAGTCCCCCCAGAGATGGGACAGGGACCTAAACAATCAAAGTCCAGGCAGTGCTTCTCCAGATACCCAAGTTGGCTTGGCTTTCCAGATCCTCTTGGGAACTGAGGACCCCCACCACGGGGCATGAAAGGGCCACAGCGATCCGTGTCGAGCAAGCAGAGGACTGACAACCTGCAGGCCAAGTCACTCCCGCTTTGGGGAAGGACAAACGATCTGCTCGAGCAGAGTTTCACTTTCTCTGAGGAGATGCCGTGCTCCGTTTCTTGGTACCAGGAGAGTTTTTCAGATGACAAAAATTATTCAGATGGACTTTGGGATGTTAGTCATGCTGGCAGGAACGACCATTTGTGGTTTTGGAACCACAAACACAGATGGTTCCTCGTTGGACTCTGGATATAACATCATGTCTAAGCTAGACCAACTGTAGCTGGTAAACTCAGACTTTTAAGACAACAAAATGAAACAAAACCGTACTAAGTGAAATAAAACAGCTCAGGGACCCCACAATAGCTCAGGGGCACATGACGGCACTGTTTTCGAGGCATGGGCTCCAGGATCACCTTAAGGTGATCACGCCATTTGGGGACTTCCATGGTACTGTAGTTTGGATCTTAACTGTCCCTGAAAGCCCCACGTGGCAAAGGATTGCTCTCCCAAGCTGCATTATTGGGAGTAGTGGAGCCTGGTAGGAAGTCTTTAGGGAATTGGGGTCATGCCCCTGAAGGTCAAATGGGCATCCTAGTCCCTTCCTCTTCCTCTTTCACTTTCCAGACATGAGGGAAGCAGTTTTGCTTAGTCACACATTCCCACCATGAGGTTCTGCCTCGCCACCAGCCCAGAGCAACAAGGCAAACCATCATGGACTGAAATCTCTAAAAGCGAGCCAAAAGGAAACGTTCCCCTTTCTAAGATGACTATTTTTGGTACATGTTATGGTAACAGAAAGCTGACCAACACACAGGGCTAAACTCTGATGGTCATGAAAAGGGGCCCAGCGCCACTCAACCACCACTCTAATTTGAGACTACTGACCTACCATGGACACCTTTCATATGTTTTAAAATAAAAATTGCTGTGCATATTAGATTGGATTGTGAAATACAGACATTAAAAGAAAATTGAGTAATTAATTACAGGAGGGAAGGGGAAGAGATATCATCACACTCCAATATATTCTTTTAGTGTCCCTCCCTTTCATGTTTATGAAAATGAAAATCTCACTACAGTAATGCAAACTTATTTTCTGATACATGCTTTTCTGCCAACTGGACCAGAAATACTGCTGAGACTGCTGGTGTGAAATTATTTCAATTACGTGGCGTGTAAAGGAAGGCATGTTGTTTTTAAAACTCATCCAAAGTTTTCTAACCCCAGATGAGAATCTGTCTGCATTTTAGCCTCACGTTCCATGAAGGAGAACTTCATTCTAGTGGCCAAGACACCTACTACCACCGCTAATAAGAAGGTGTCATTGCCTGTGTCAAGTAGTATCTGGGATTTTAAAATACTGTAACCACGACTTACTTCTGAAAGAGTGTTTTGGTGGTTGTTCGGTGTAAAACCACCAAGAAGTCTTTAAATGCCCAGACACACCTTGGTGTGACAGACGGAGCTCATTCCTCCACATTTTCCTGGCAGACAAACAACTACTTTTTCTTTTCAAATGGTCACCCACTGGGTCAAAAGGATTTCTATTCCTGAGTCACTTGTACAAAGAACCTTCAGTGCTAACAGAATCTCACTCCATGAACAGTTATAGTCAATACCTTACATTCTTTCTTTTTAACACTTTTCATTAGTGCAGTTTAGTTTTATGTAGTAGTGGGACTCATTATGCAATATTCACACATGAACATAACATAATTCAATAGACTTCATTCCCCTCTCCGCCTCCATCCCCATCCACTTCTCTACTGATATTATTATTATTATTATTATTATTATTATTATTTTAAACTACTGCATTGTAATTATATATAGAAATAGGATTCATTGTGATATATTCTTACATGGATAAAGCGTAAGATTGTCTTTTAATTAAATGGCATACAATTCAATGGCTATTCGACAGGCCAACTCTGTGAATCTATGAGACGCCATTAGCACAGGGACAAATAAACAGAGGTCTCCATGCATTACCAAAAAAAAAACAAAAAACAAAAAAAACGGGTGGGAGGTTGGATAAAAAGACAAGAAAAAAAAGGAAGAGGGCCGGGGGTATAGCTCAGTGCTAGAGCACTTGCCAGTCATGTGCAAGGCCCTGGTTCCATCCACAGGGGAACAAAAAAAAGAAGAGAGACAAACTTAACAAAAGCCTGTCAAGGAACCTCCTCCACCCACTGCACCAGCCCCATGTCCCTGTCAAGGTGTGGCTTTACCTGTTAAGATGAGGATTATAATCACAGCAAATATGTCAGGGTTTTCAGCCAGCACGCCGGGGGCATTCAGGGCCATGTGCTTCCGTGAGAATTCCCCAATCGGTTTGCCTATCAGCTCGTCAAAGGTCGCACTCCAGGCTCTCGCTACACTTGACGTACCTGCCACAAAGCACATGCGGTAATTCTAGGACTACTGTCAACAGAATGTGCGTCATCAGGCTCAATGTTCCCAGCACCCATGCAGGGTCACAGACAGCGTGCTGGGACCTCACAACAGCAGCCTCACCACAGTAGGTACCAAGCCAGAAGACAGGCTCAACCAGCAACTGGAGTGAAGAGGAAAGTGTGAGAAGGCTTCTAGGGCCTGGAAAGAAGCATGTTTGTGCCTCAACGCAACATGCATGCAGACCCTCATGTTCACATGGACATCTCTGCAACTACGTGCCCTGGTTTACAATGGTTAAACAGAACAGTATTTCAGCTTTACAAGGGGATGAAAGCAACATGCGTTCCGCAGAAACTACTTTGAAGTTTGAATCTGCATCTTTGCTGGATCTCTCGCAATATTTGGTGTGGTCCTCTGTTTCAATACTGGTCAGCAACAGTGACCACAGCTCCTGGTTAGCCCCAGGATCACAGGGGGACACAGTGAGACTGCAGAAGACTGGGCTGCTAAGCTAGGATGTTAGGAGGATGACCTGCATTTTCAGGTTATGATATTTTCATATTAGCGATGGGTTGATCAAGGTGAACCCCACTGTAAGTCAGGAAGCATCTGTATGTATAGTTGAAACCCAGCGTATGTTTGCATATATACATATGTAACAATAAAATTCCTACAAAAAGTAGTTACCCCTACCACCTAAGAGGCACTCTGACAGCATTTATTCAATTTTATTTGATTTCATTAAAAAAAAAATACTGATGACAACTTGAGAAATTGATTGCATGATGTAGTCTTGGGATGCAGCAGGCAGTCTGCTTAAGAAACCCCTTTTGCAGGAACACCCCCTGGCAGTAGGGCTGATGGTACCTGAACCCCAAGATCCCGTCTACAAAGACAGCATTGAAGGGGGTAACCCCATCTCAGGAGCAAGGCCACCACTTATCCTAGGGCAGTGCCACTCTGGGTCTCAATCTGAGCTCTCACCACCTGACCCAGAAGCCACCGTGTCCCACCATGCAGGACCACAGATGAAGCCCCATGCATCTCCATGCATCTCATGGCCACAAGAAGCACAGATACAAGCTGCACCCCAAAGGGCAACAGCAGCTGGCTGCTTTCTCTCTCTCCCTCTTATTTAATTCTAAAGAGAATCATTGCTTTTCCACTGGTGTTTGTCAGGAAATGTCACTAAAATTCCAATATTTGCATATAGTATTTTCCTTTACTTTCAGGGCCTTGCCAGTGACTGGTCTGAATTATCCACAGAGTTTTTCCATAGTGATCTGCACAGGATTCAATTTCATTATTTGGATTCAGTATTTTTCCAACATCTCAAAAACGTAACCACGCTTCTTCATCCTAAACAACAACTTATTATGAATTCTGCTTCTGAAGATCACAACCTAAATGAAAAGATTTGGTCTCACTGTCTCCCCTGTACCCCTAATGAGGCTAGATCACTGCAGACCCCACCCTGCTGGATGCCAGGGACTGCCCTGGGCTTTCTTCCCAGCCCACCCACTTCCCATTTCTGAATCATGGTTAAAAAAAAAAAAAAAAAAAAAATTGTTGGAAAATATGCCCTTCCCCAGTAGCTAAAGCTAGGAATAAATTTCCATAATACATGCATCAGCCTTACACAAGCAAATAGCACTTTGACAAAGACTCTTATTTGTTGGTCTAGAAGCAGTAAACACTTCATGCTCAATGTTTTTGTTTTACGCCCAGGTAAATCCTCTGAAAACATAACAGTCCTTTTAAAATAGCTACATTGTCACTGAGAGACTGCAGTGTAGTGTGAGAGCCATTTGTAGTTACAAGTTTTGATGTTGCACTGAAAAAAAAAAAAAAGAAAAGAAAAGAAAACCATTGTGAATTTTATTTTAGAATTCAGAAGAGTAAGCTCTGTTGGCTTTCAGCAGATACTGCAGCTTCTAGAAAGAAAGAGAAGGTGCTCCTCAAAGGGCCTGTGCATTGACCTCTGCCAGCTGGCCTGGTGAAGTAGCAGTAGTGTCCCTCATGCAGAGATGAGGCCACAAGAGTCCCAGAGGCCAGCACCTTCTCCAGGTTCCCCAGGAGAAGGACACAGTGAGCCAGGAGTCACAAGACTCCACTTACCACGTCTATTTTTTTGAACAATATTAAGAGAAAGCTTGTTTTAAAAAAGAAAAAGAAGAACATTTAGTGGCCACCTGAATTTCTACTTTTGTGAAGTGACCATTCATATCCTTTGCTTATTCTTATATTTAGGTCTTTCTTTTGCACTGATGTGGTCACCTTCAGTTGTGATCAAAACACCAAGATCATGAAGAGAAGTAAAGCATTTTCCCCTACCTAATCAAAAAGATTATATGTTTGGTGGCTCTGTTTGCTGGGTGGTCATGTTTAATGCTAAATATCCAGTGAGAAACAGGTTCCCTAGGAGGACAGAGGGTCAGAGGCAACACATAGGTACATGGATCTAAACATTCTGCTTGTTAGATAGTAAAGATAGAGCAATTTACTGTTATAATAATACCATATGTGAAAATAATTTGAACATCTCACAAGGACATCCAATACAACTGTGCTATGTTTATGAATCTATATAATGGTATGCAACCATTAGCAATAGGACCACGAAAAATGGCTAACAATAAGAAATTAATGTATCCTATTGTATAAAGAGACATACTGCACAAAAATCGACATTTAAATTTACAAATGTATTGGCAATACAAATCTGTTATACTCCAGATAGTAAACTCTTATGAACTCTTACGAGCCTTATTCTTCCATTGTATCCCAAATGTCCAGCAAAATGCTCAGCACAGAATAAACACTCAAAAGACACTGTTTCTTAAGAGAAAGAATGAATGAATGAATGAATGAATGTATGAATGAACAAAGAATCCGTCTCTCTGGGTTCTCAGGTTGAACAGCTCTGCTTTCTTGGTGCTTTTCTCTATTTCTCCAATTTTTAAAATTGGTGATATATTAAATAACCAGAAAAACTACTCAAAGAAACTAATTAGAAACAGCTTATTAATTCTATGTCTCTTGAGTGAAGGGGGTGGGCTTGGCTTGCCCCTGCCTCCTGGGCAGTTCACTACAGCCATACCCACGGGCAGCTGAACACCTTTCATAAACACAGAAGGCAACGTGGACAGCCCTGAAGGGAAGAGCAGCCCGTCTTCCTGGGGAGCCAAGAGGGGCCCACTCGGGAGGGGGAACAAGTGGAGGAGGGAGGGCTCAAGCTCAGGTCTGCTGGGACTTACCGATGATGTAGGACAGGATCAAATTCCAGCCCGTGATGAAGGCCCAGAGCTCCCCCACGGTCACGTAGCTGTAGAGGTAGGCCGAGCCTGTCTTGGGGACGCGAGCCCCAAACTCTCCATAGCACAGGCCAGCCAGCACGGAGGCCAGCGCAGCGATCAGGAAGGAGATGACGATGGCAGGGCCGGCGTCCTCACGGGCCACGGCTCCAGCCAGGACGTAGACACCTGCGCCCAGTGTGCTGCCCACCCCCAGGGCCACCAGGTCGAAGGTGTTCAAGCAGCGGGACAGCCGGCTCTCCTCCCGGCTGCAGTCCACCACCTTCCGCCGCAGCATCTGGTGACCAAGTCGCAGCAGAACTTTGCACCCCATTGTGCTGTTCACGTCTGTCAAGAAAGAAAAGGAATAAAGGGGTCTTGTCACTTCTGTGAGTTTCACACGGACCTCATCTTTTTCTTTTTTTAATATATGTTTTTTAGTTGTAGGTGGAGACAATACCTTTATCTTTATGTGGTGCTGAGGATGGAACCCAGTGCCTCACAAGCGTGCTAGGCGACTGCTCTACCCTTGAGCCACAACCGCAGCCCCAGGACCTCATCTTATTGGCAGGACCACAAGGTCCTTTATAATTATTTCCTGCTAAAATGTTCCATCTCATAGCATTCCACCACTGGTTGTCAGAACCAAGACTCCTTAGGTCTCAGGGCCCCCCAGCACTTCCAGAAGTGCCCCAGGAAGTTGCTGTACCCAGCTGCCTTTGCTTTAAAGTCCCCGAGCTTCCATGTTTATTTCAGTTCTCAACTGAGAACTTTCCATGGGCAGAAATCATGCGGTATTGGAAACACAAATTAATGACATTGTTCCTACCTGCAGTAATCATATAAAAGGAAAACAAGATGTCATTTCTGAATACTGTACTGTCACGGAAGACACACCAAACGATCTTATTTAATTATTGAAACCCAGAGGTCTTGAATAGCACTGACGATGTTTCCAGATCTTTCCAGGACCCTCTGAGGTCAAGGACAAGTTGTTTCCACTTTTAAGTTAGTGGAGAACCAGGTCCAGAGCAGGAAAGCACTGAGTTGTTTCAAGTGAGGGCTTTTCATAGCCATCCTGCTCCAGGAAGCGCTTCCCTCTGGGCCAGGCAATGGCACAGTGTGCTGAGTGACATGCGCCTGGCTACTCGTGAGAAGGCACGTGTTCACTGGCACGCTGGCTCACGTCATCTGCTGCCACATGGAACACGCTCCACGGGGGCCTCAGGAACACTTGGTGGACCTGTGAACTCACAGCAGCTTTAGACTACTTTCCTGTGACGGACAGGCCCTCCTGGCCCACGCAGGCAGGTGTTACAGTGACGCCTTGGTCCTGGGGCAGAGGCCACCCCTGGGGATGTGGAGTTTCACTCCTGACTCCTGAAGGATGCGCTCTAAATAGTGACCTCCTCACACAGAGCACAGTATGGAAGGGGGGACAGCTCCTGTGCTTGGAGAACCCTGACAAACATGGCCTTAGCCAGGCCAGCAAGGCCAACATCAACCCTGTGAAGCCATGCTGAGCATGGGATGTGATGAGGAGGACACTGTACCTCTGGGTCTGCCTCCCCAAACCCGTAGCGCACTAGAACCTTGGGAAAATCACCAGACAAATGACCACCGGGCATTCTACAAGGTAGCTGACCAGTACTCCACAAAAGTGTCAAGGTCATCAAAAACAAATCTGTCAGAGCCACTCTGCCAGACCCTTAAGAGGCGGGGGACTAAGTGCAATGTGGGATCCTGGCATGGGAAAGGAACCACAGGGGGAAACTACAGGAATTGAGTAAAGTGTGGACTTCAGTTTAGGTGTCAACATGGGTCAGTAGCTGTAACATCATGACACGAGGCCATTGAGGTACCACGAAATAAACCATTAATTTTTTTTCCATCTTTATCAGTTGATATTTTATTTTATTGACCTAACTCAGCTGCAGTTAAGCCATCGGTAAGGGAAACCGTTTAAAGGGAGACCACACATCTGGAAAAGCCCCTGCCTAGCCACCTAAGACACTTCACCGCCTGACCACGCCATGCACCCTCCCTCCCAGACCTCAGGTTCAGGTCCCTTCAGCATTGTTCATGTCCCTGGCCAACTCCAGGTCACGGAAGAACTGGGAGTGGTTCTTCCTGTGCTTCACCTAATGGAACCAGAAGAGAGGGGGAAAAAATCTGAAGATCTGTGAAGTATGAAGCTAGACCGGGGAATCCCCTCACTACAGATGAGCCAAGTGCCAAATAAGGTCGCAGTTCTGAAGGCGCCAGTGGCCCTGGCTCATTTGGGGTTCCGGTGGGACTGCAGGTGGGGGGGAAATGATATCCTGGTGTGGCAAGGGTGGGGACAGGTGGAGGGAAATGGGAGGAAAAGGAAAGAGCGTTGTTTGTGGAGCAGCAGCTGAGTGGGAAAATCACAGAATCGGAGTTTGAGGGGGTTGCCCAGGAGAACAAGCAGAGAGGCTCATGGCTCCGGGTGCCTTCAGCAGGGCAATGCTACCCCCCTGGAAGCACACTAGGGAAGATTCTGAGGTGTTCCAGAAAGCTGCCCGTGATGCTTGGAAGAAGGGGGTTTTCCATAGTCTAGAGGAGGCTGCTGGAGGCAGGAGGGAACAGCAGGAGGTACCGAGGCCCTGCCGCTGCTGGGGCCTGCAGAAGGCTCTGGAAGGTTCTAGCCCTCTTAAAGCAAGCCCAGCAGCTAATTTCTCCTGGAACTGCTTTTCTCTTTTCACTTGTAGAAGATTTAGCTTGGTTTACTCAAGTCAAAGTATAAATCACAACAAACTGATGAGTGAACAGTTCTGGGGTGGTGAAGTTCTTTGACAGGGAAGGGACAGCACTGCCATGCCACTCAGTGACTGTGCTGAGAGCGCAAAAACCGTTGCAGGGTTGGGGTGCAGCTCAGTGGGAGAGTGCTTGCCTAGCGTGTGCAGGCCCTGGGTTCAAGGCCCAGCACTGCAGACAACAACAACAACAAACAAGTTGTAGAGCACTTTGCAACATCACTCTTTATGGCAAGAAGAGAACTGTAAATAGAAAGGAGCGTAATGGGAAGTGGGTGTGGGTAAGCTCCATGTACTTGCACAGTTGTGAATTTGGCTGGTAGATGTGACTGCTGGAGGGACTGACAGACACAGTACCCGCCAGCTCCCTCCTGTTCCAGATTTCATTTCCTCTTAATAATGGGCAGATTCCAAAAGCCAGATGTAAGGCACAGACAACACCACTCGATAGGCTCTACCTTTCTGACCTGGGCCCTTTGGGAGGCCGGCCCACAGTTCCCACTCCTTTCCAGAAAGTGTGCTATAGTCCTAGGCAGGACCAAAAGCTGTAAGGGGCCTGAAGTGGGATTCTTGTTGAGGGGTTCATGCCCCAGGAACAGAATTCCAAGCCTCCTTAGAACAGAATGTGAATCCTGGGACCTTGTGTTAGGACAAGATGACCCACTTGGACACGCATGGATGAAAACACATAAGCACACATGTACCCACATCGTCCCCTGCAGATGGCCCATGCCAGCGAAAGGGCTGCTCAAAGAACCAAGTTACTTACCATTGGTCAAACTTCACCTCCACCTTCAAAATGAAGGAGGCAGGTTATTAAATACTATAAATTTGGATACAGATATTGGTTTTTCAACACAAGGTGAAAAGGGAGTTCTTTGGTGAGACAATCGTGACCACATGGATGCAGTTCACTTCTCTTGAATAAGCAAATGGTGGCTCATTGTCTTCTGTCCTGTCCTTGGCACTTGGGAAATGCTCTGTGCATCAGTGGGAGAAGGCCCAGCAGGGACTCTGACAGTGGACTCACTTTCCATCACCTCTCCCTTGATGACTTCTTAAGTATCTCTTGCTACCTGGGGTGAGGGTGAGCTCAACTCCTTTGAAGGTGCAGGAACATAAGCACCGTCCCATTGCAGGGTAGAGGGGCAGAGTTGATAATGGGGAAACATCAATGTCGCAAGTTAGGTGTTCATTTCTACTTCCCCAGTCAGGAGAAAGTAAGATAACTCAGCCTGGGGTTTATTTGAAGTAGCATCCTTTGTGTCTCTTTGGAGGTGTTGCAAAAAACTGTTCTTCGACTGGCATTTTCTATCAGCAGTTTGCACACGTTACACTTCCGCTCATGCCAGTACTCCGAAGTGAGTTGTTCAACCAACAGTGAGGCAAAAAATCTACACTTCACTGCACAAAACGAATCTAACCATGCCAATCCCGGCAGTGTCAGGTAGAGACAGACTTCCGGCATGGAAAGCTGCAGGCATGCTTTGAAAACATGATCTAGAAACAACGCTGCCCTTTCTTATGGGGAGGGATAATTTGTACAACCATTCACTTGTACTTCTACTTGAAGTTTTGACAAGAATTCTGCCACACCAAGCGTGTCAGCTGCATCTTAACTGCCTAGTCACCTATTATTGAAGAACACTAGCCTTAGGTGGTATCCTCTTTGAAAAGAAAAGAAAATCTGTCCGTTTCCCAAAGAAAGTCTAACTCCAAATTTCATTATAGTAATCACTACTTAAAAATAGGAGTGAAATGACCCATGAGTCAGGATTTCAGAGAGAAAGATCTTCCTGGGCTCTGTTTTAAAGATTTCTGGTAAGGTGGGCTGTATCCTTGGGGTGATTTTTTTTTTTTTTTAGTCTCAAATTTAATCATTGATTCTATCCCTCAAAACTCCAGCTTAATGGCTTGAGGGAAAGAGGGAGGAAAGGGGTCGGAAGTAGGCTGCGAGACCATATTCCTAAATGTCATCCTTGGAAGAAAGCCTTAACCCTGAAATCTTCACTAGGAAGATTTACTAGGTCCTCCAAATGGCTCAGGTTCCAAACCACCAGTTCCCACCAGGCATCTGGTAGGAAATATCTAGAGTACAACCTATCATTGCAATGGCAGAGAGAATGCCATCTACATTTGTACTGGGCTGAAGAAACTCCGTCTTTGCTGAGTGCTGGCACTCCTGGAGACCACGAGTCAGGAGGGCACAAAGTCACAGTAGTTACCTCCCCTCCCCTAAAGCAGGAGCAGCTGGGAAACCACAGACTTGTCATGTAGGCACTGCCCCAGGGGCGCGTGAAGGGCCCTGGAGGGTGAATGCAGCTTTAAAAAGCAGGGGCACAGTGCTTATGATTGGGTGACCTGAACCAGAGGTGATAGGAAGGGTCCAAAAAAAGAGCTCTACGATGCTGGTCGTTGTGGGGGAGGAGAAGGAGAATCGATGACAGGGAAGAGGTGGTGTGGAAGGAAGTGATCTCAAAGCAGAAACCACTTCCCTCCAGATGTTAGGAGGCCCAGGTGCCAGAACTTCAATTTAAAAAAATATATATCAGGGTGCATCTGGGCCTGGTA